TGGCCGCCTCCTCGGCAGACACATTCCGGGTGTGCAGAAGTGCCTGAAGTGGTGAGAAACAATAAAAAAGGTAACAGTAGCTGTCAAAGCACAAACTACATTTATTCAATTTGTTTTAAAGTTGGTTCTCTCACACTTACTATTACTGAAACTATAATTATTGCGTACTCAACTATCCATCATTTTGAGCTGTTTGGTATAACTGCAATAAATCAAATAAGTCCTTGTTATCAAGGTCTTTATCACAATGCCAGGTCAAGAGTCACAAAGTCAACCATAGTCATCTTTCTTGTTTTAGCTGAGGTTCTAGTTCTGTAGTGTAAGTCAATCCTGGTAGAAACTGTCCATGTGTCCTATTTCTGGAGATCATTTCAATATTTTACAGTGAGCAGAGTATGCAATTAAAATTTAAAAAAAAGCTGTCATGTAATACATTTTCAATTCAATTTTATTTATATAGTGCCAATAGATGCATATCCATGCTTCTATTCTTTCAGACACTATATACATTTACATTTACTCATAGCGACTTACAATTGCTATACATATCAGAGGTTGCCTGCCTCTGGAGCAACTAGGGGTTAAGTATCTTGCTCAGGGACCCAATGGTGGATGGTGAATGGTGGATGTCTCACAGTGGGAACTGAACCCAGGTCTCCCACACACCAAAGGCAAGCATCTTGTCTATGCACCACCACCACCCCACTGTGCCAGTATAACATTGCCATTCATAATTATCAATGGATGTTGATATAAATGTAGCCTAAACTTTGACACAAGCACCCCACCTGTTTGGCTGCTTCCTCTGGGATGTCCAGCTCTCTGAGCTGCTGCAGAAACACAGGATTGACATCCTGAGAGCCTGAGTCTGGGCCTGACTGCTCTGATGGCTCCATTCTTGACTGCAATAGGGAACACAGCGATATTGAACACCCTGCACAGCACAATCCCACAGGCAAAATGATACCATTGTCAACTGAATTTACCACATTAAGACTAAAATGACAAATCAATGACTGTGTGCAGTTTAAACACGTCCATCTTTATCCATTAGGCTCTTGTAAAAGAGATCTGAATGTTCTGCACGACTCTGAATAAGGGCTGAACGATATGCAACGGTATTTAGAGAGATAGTGAGATTGCGATTTTCATGGGAATGGTAATTTTAGGATTTAATTTTCACTGAAAGAATATGTGATATATGTTGATGTGATTTTTGCTGCAGTCTATACCATAATAGCATGTTCCCTTACGTCTGGAGAAAATGGTTTGTATGCCTGCACCACACCTTTGTGACACATTTTACCTTTACAAAAAAAAAGGTAGAGATGCTATTTTGCTATTACAGTTGGCCATGCGATAACCATATTTAGAGTAAGTTCAGCACTGCTCTGAATGCATGCATGCATCATATATGGATGGGCGGATGGCTTATTAGCACAAACATGACAAGCTAACAAAATAAACGGGGGCCTGTAGCCCTTAAATACACAAGTTAAAGCTGGATATAGAACTGTATCTCTACTGGTAAACTGACACATTGCGTTTAAACCTACTGTTAGATGGATAGGAACATTTCGTAAAATGTCGTCCGTTAACGTTACTTGTCCAAGCAAGGCCGTATTAAAAATTGAATGAAGTAACGTTACGATTTGACGTTCTCTTCATTTGCGAAAAGGAAATATAACGTTAAATATAACGCTGCCCTGACAGACAGACAGAACGTGTAACAAAACAAAGCAGAAGTTAGCTGTCGGAAGACAACGTTCACATAGCTAACGTTAGTTCTGCGCAGTTGACAGTTGTTAGCACACCAACTACGTTTAACGCCATTCAAATTAGCATCGAAAACAATGCAGCTAATGCTAGTTAAGTTACGCTTAATTTTCGCTTAGACTTGTGGTTAAGCCAATACAGCAAGACTACTAACCACAAATTGCACTAAGACGCTGAACGCTAATGTTTTCTTGTTAGTTAAGGCAACCTTTCTGGCTCCACAGATGTTGCTACAAAGGTAGCTAGCGTTAGCATTAGCCGCTAAGTTACCACTCACTGGACAAGCTTCAGTTCAGCCTGTAGTTACCTATTTTGCGCAGCTAGATCGACAGCAGGAACAACGACGGCGACTTCCCCGCGGTTTCTACCAGCCTTAATATTCACCTGCGACGGAACAATTTGTGTTTGAATGTGGAATTACATTCAGTGGGATTCCCGACAGTACTGTCTTCACCGTTACTCCATTTTGCACCCTTGTGTTTGTTGGCATAGGATTCTGCCCTGCCTCGGTGTGCTGTTACAGATTTCCTGGTGATATTAGAATTATGTGATATGCGCATGGACAAAGCACACGTACCCTTCTTACTCCTTTTCTTCCACGTGAGGACGAATGCCGGCTATTGTATTTTTATAACCTCATTATCACATATGCATGCCATTTAGTTATTCATTTACTTGAAGCTTTGTTTATTGCTTTTTAAATAAAGAAAGAACTCACACGGCGCCCCCCCAAAGTAAACACATAGATAGAATTAATGAACGACATTGAATAAAAAGTAGGCCTACAGCAAGTAAGAATTATTCTATTTGTTGACTTAAAACCACAGGTTTTAACCACAATGTACTCGACCTTTTTATCTCGTTTTATCCTGTTGCAGCTGACGTGTGTAAAGGTCAGTAGGTTAAGATACAGTTAATATATTGATCACGGTAACCTCGGCCTCATGAAGGCAAATAGCACCAGATAAATGGCCCCAGGTCCCTTACACTCACTGACATCCTGTCCATTATTACAGTTGGGACCACAGCTGTCACTTACCTATGAACACCTGGAGGGATTCAATATGAATGTCGTTTTTTTTGGAAGAAAGAAAACCCATCATTTTAAGAATACTTTATTACATCACCATCTGTGAGAAGTTACACCTTCTCTTATTAAACAGGTTAAATCACTACAGTTACATTTTAAATCAGTATGCACAATGGTGTTAACACACAAAATAAGAAACATCCTTAAAAGCGCTCCTTGCAGAGCCTGCTCTACATTGCCAAATGTATACAGCCTAACACAGTTATAGTCTTTTCTCAGTTGGCTTGTCCTTATCATCATTAAGCTTTAACCCCCAGCAGAAGTGACAGTGTATGACAGAACAAACCATCTGTTCGTATGAATCTTTAGTTGCTTGTGTGTGTTAAGCAATGTAGTGATAAACCTATGCGCTACATTCTGAGCCTGGATCTGGGAATAACACACTTCAGGCTCAAATGACACACATCAACACTCTTCAAGGGGGACATGGACAGAAATGAGACAGATCAGAAAAACTAATCCTTTTCACTGTCATCTTTTTTTGGTCGTTGACGACTAGGGCTGGGTATCAAACCACATTACTTTTAAATCGTGGACTAGACTGTGTATATAGCACTGACTTGAGTAGTGAGAAACTGTTAAACAGTAATTGAGTTTGGTCAGATTCTCAGTCTTCTTTTAGTGACACTGAAATGTATATATTCTGCAAAGTAAGGTATTGAACAACTTCAATATTTTGGTATTGAAACTATGACATACTAAAACTGCTGGTATTGGTGTTGTGTCAAAATCCGTTTCCCTGTCTATTTGGGTTTCTCCTTGCACTCAACTGAACCCAACCAGTTATGTCTGCAATGCCTGACCATAACCTCAACATTAACCTAAACTGAGCCCGAAGCACAAAGGGCGGTGCCGAGAGAGACACCATTTAAAGGAAACAGACTTTGACACCAGACCGTCATCAACAAATGTCCAACCATAGCCAGCCCCTCTAGCACCAGAAAGCCATCTCAGTCTTTGTCATTTAAATAAGGAAAAATAAAATCAGCAAACATTAGCTCATGTATATAAGGTCTCTGTGCTCCAACCAAAAGCAGTGTGACAAGATCAACTATAGCTACTGAGCCAGTAGTAGTATAATCAATACATAACCTGTATCAACTTAACAAAACAAAAATGCCATATAGACCTTCAGCAAATGAAGCAGTGTCACCCTGTGTTCAATACAAGAACTGTATACCATGATGTCAATACCAAAATATATCAACACGTACCTTTAACTCAGCTTGAAGTGGAACAAGGTGAACCATGATTTAATACGTTTGTTCAAAACCTAAAAGGAATGTTTAAAAAATGTACACAATGGAAATATGACTGACTTGCAAAATAAAACACGGCGGCGCACACAAAGATTCCACTTAATTAATACGAGTTACTTTATGGAAGGATTTTTTTTTTCCTCTAACATCTTTCCAGTGACTATGGACACATCCAACAGTAAGAAACAAAAATGAACGGTCAGGGTTTAGGTACCTTAAAATGCCCCAATGAGCAGGTTCTGATTTCCAATCTCACTTAAAAGGAAAGAAAATAATAACTAGAAATGTCTGAAATGTGTGTGTGTGTGTGTGTGTGTGTGTGTGTACTACTGCAAATGTATGTCCAGCAGGTGTTTCTGTATATGTGCATGAGGGCAGATGTGTGCTGTGCTGCTGTACTGGTAGTTATAGCTGGTTGAAATGTACCTAGTAGTGTCAACATCATCACGAAAAAACAGAGTATTTGATGCAGCACAGTAGGCTGAGGTAGAGTGGCAGTTACTTATTAAACTCTCAGCAATTGGCTTTAAGTAAATGGGGGTTATAAACAATGTTGTGACCAAGGCTTCTTTCTTAAACATCTCCATTTCAGAGAAGAAAATCTTGAAGCTGATTTCACTATTTTCTGAATATACATTCAGACTTAAACATCTAAATTATGCTTGATGATGATGAACAATTACTTCATTACTTTGTACTAGAAACCAGAAATGCGAAAATACAAAATACAGCCAGGGCAATATGGATAACGGTGCGCGCGCGCACACACACGCACGCACACACACACACACACAGGCATGTGACTTTTGACCGTACAGCAGCGACAAGCACACAAGGCATAAGAGGTACCGCTTCATAAAATTCACTACAGAAGGGAAACTGACATAAAATCCTTCTTTAATAATTTTTCAGATCAGATCAGCTGACTATGGAGCAGCTGGTTTCCTTTGCACGAGAGCTGCTGTGTAAGATGGAAAAGTTTGAGAGTTAAAACACTCAGTTCTTCCTCCAAATGTCTCTTCAGAAAGTCAATGGAGGGACAGCAGGCCCGACTAGTCTTTTACACATCCCCTCTTTCTTTTTTGTTCTGTGTCCACGTGTTGTCCTGCTACTACAGAGAGCTCAGCGTCTGACCGATGTCTCCTTAGCCAACAACAAAACAGGACAGAAGGTGCTGGAATGTGAACTGAAAGCTCACGGCTCCTCGACTCCAACCCTTCCTCCTGAAAGGAAGGTTGGTACTGTCTTCTTATTTGTCTGTCTCTTGCTCTCCTGCTTTTCGACTCAACCCGCAGGGTGCAAGTCTCTTAATTCACTTTCACGCTCCTAACCTACTCTGCCAAGGCTCTGGTAGGTGTTTCCTCTGTCACAAGTCGGTGACTTTATTCTCCACGGCAGCTGCGATCTGCTGCAATCTGTAGCCCAGTTGCATCTTCTGGGCCGTGGTGTCCTCCTCCAGTGCCGTAATGATCTGATGAGAAGAAGATGGCACAGAGATTGAGGGAGAGAGACAAAAATAAGATTCATCACTCCTGTAAGCAGAAATGTACCAAAAGACTCAACACATAAAAAAAGGAGCAGTTGTATTTCCTCTAAAAGATTATAGTTCTTAGACCCGTTACACCCAGACTGTTCTGACCTCAATTGTTCTGACTGATGGAAGAGAGAGACAGGACAGATGGAGAGCTCAAAAAGCAAAGTACGTATCTACATTTCAGAAATTCTGGAAGGAAGAATTTAGGTCGGACTTTCTGCATGCACACTCCCGAGCCTCTTGTCTACTGATTCTGAACTCTACACACAGTGACAACACCACAGATAATGAAATGGAGTCTGCCAACACAAACTCCACTGAAGGACAAAAAACAGCAAACAAGTTTTATGTGCTGAAGCCCATCAGACCAAATCAGAATCAGATCGGCGTCTGGTGAAAACACTGTCCACATCTGGAAGGCGTTTAAGTCATGGAGAGACCTCCGCTTTTTTTTTTTGGATATAAAAACTGACAGAGTTGGCTTTCATCCTGTTGGACAGGTAAACTAACATTACTGCAAAACATGTGAAACACATTGTGATTTTGTGCTTTAGCTGGCTCAAGTTACTCTAACGCGACCCACATTTCTATCCTGTGTACCACCAGTATCATGTCAAAGCAAATGTGTAGCGATTTGTTTATACTATATACCTATAGTGACGCGCGGCAGCCAGCTAGATTATCACGGATCGGGTGTTCAATTTAGATTTATTGTCATTTTGTTTTGCGGGAGCACACGCCCCATCCACACTACTCCGTTTGTGTTTAAAAACAGAGTTTTAAAACGAATACGATCTCCGTCCACACCAGCGTTTTAGCTGCGTCAGAATTGATCTTAGTCTACATTAAAACGACTGAAAACACACATCTAGTGGCCGTTCATGTACACTGGGCATGTGTGTGCCGGTGTAAACATGAAGAGGATGGTCTATTCCATAGATACAGAAGAGTTGGTAAAAGAGTAAAGAAATAGGCTAGAGACAAAGAAGTGGCTGTGGTGGCAGAAAACAGACCGTAAGTCATCGTAAAGTAAACACGGCGACATACACAGTACGAGTGTAGGCTGTAAGTGTTATCTGCAAGGTACAAAATATTTTAATAAAAAGCTCTATCAGCAGCATCCTGTTTCTGCTTTGCATGACTTCTAAGACCCAATCAGAGAGCCGAGGGTGAGCATCTGCGTCATCCTTTGCGTCATCCTTTCTATAGTCCTCCGTTTTTGTCCGTCTGCGCTAAAACGCTACCCGGAGTTTTAAAAAGAAAAACGGGGTCACCAGCGTTTTCAAACCTCTCCGTTTTAGGTCTCCATTTTCGCCGTTTTAGGCTGGACCGTAGGTGCAAACGTAGCAAAAGGTCTCCGTTTTAAAACGAAAGCGCAGTAGGGTGGAGGGGGCCTCAGCTGCAATCAGAAACTTCACCGCTAGAGGCCTCTGAAAACTACACACGGCCCCCCTTAATATTGTGATGCATTTTTTGAACTCTAGTATGCACATTATCAAAAATTTGTTGTGCCCCGATATCCTGCGACAGCTCTACTGTTAAACACACCTGGTCATAGTATTTGTTGATGTACTTGTACAGCTCATGCAGTGCGACCAGGTAATTCAGCTCTCCAGAGTAGTTCTGAAACACAAAGCATTCAGATCAGATGTCAGCCTTTGTTTCTTTACACTGTATTTCTCTCCACTGTGGGCTCTGAGGTGTGGCAGCACTCACCCTGGACAGTTCAGCCAGAGCAGAGTTCATCTCCTGGTCACTGGCTGAGATGGTCTGCCTGATGTCAGCATAGTACCTGCAAGAAGGGCATTTACGGTCAACTTCTCATGCAGGACTGAGATTACAAACTGCTTTCATGAGCTTGGAGAACGCACATTTTAGACTATAACATGCAGATAAGAAACAAAGAAAAGTGACCTCTAACCAAACAGCAAACATTGCATCATATTGTCCGGAGAGGTGAACCCACCTTTCTACCATCTGTTTGTAGCGGGGGATGTCTCTGGCATACAGCAGCTTGTTGATGGGAGAGTCCTGCTCAAAAAGAAAAGAGGGAATGAGAAGAGAGAAGGAGGAGCAGGAGGCGGCTTCATCTCCATTTGGGACTGAAAAGCCACCAACTGCAACCGACTGATCCATCATCTACAGCCTTAACTTTTCCTCCTTTTTAAACATCTTTGTCTTCCGGTATTAGTATATCTGACAGGGCATTTCATTCAGTCTAAATTATGACTTCAGACCAACAGGTGGTACATAATCTTTGTGACAGTGGAACCACATAAAAAACTATTTCACATAAAAGCATACGTATATAATGGAAATATGTAAGTTCTAGCGTGCAAGCTTCTACTTGCTCCCTCCCGTCCAGCCTCACCCTTCCCAGCTTGTGCTCAGCGATGGTGCAGGAGTCCATGAAGGTCTGGGCGATGACAGAGAGCACAGCGTCCACGTGGTCCGACGCCTGGACGTCAAAGATAAACTGAGGGTTCTTCACAATGTTGATCCAAAAACGCAGAGGCAGGCTGGAGAAATAGAGGAAACAATAGAATTATATATTGTTTTGTTTCAAGATCCAGCTTGAGTCACTCTTTCAAGTGGTTGAATTCTTTATTCATTAAATCCAATTGTCCAAGAAGTTTTTTGGACAAAATCATTTTAACCCCTCATGTGCCCGCACAGTGTCACCTTCATCTCTTCATGCGAGTACTGTACCTGTTGGTCTTCCAAATGTGGATGGTCTCTGGGTCAGAGATGCCGTGTTGTCCTGCCTGGTCGTCCAGCAGGTCAAAAAAGTATTTGACAGCCAGCGGGACAGGACGACTGGTGCTGAGGATCACGGTGAACAGATCGTCTACAAACTTCTGCAACGTCCCCTGAAGAACATGGCGGAGGAGGGCGAGAGTCAATATGATTTAGTGCGGAGGTATGCTTGTTACAACGCAGTAATACACACATTATAGGAAAGGAGGAGTATGTCAACGTGTTAACTGTAGACACCTCTCTCTGTATAAAATGAAGTGAAAAGGAGAACAAACTGGTGTCAGCAGTTTTTCTAAATTGATTGCAAACACTGACAATTAAACAATCTGGGAAAGAGATCTCAATTTAGCTGATCATTGGTGGACTGCCAGAATCTCCTCAGTTGTTCTTATTAGGAGACAGGTCTCTCCCGCCACCAGTTAAAGTGCTGCTAGAAAGCAGTCTGTATTTCTGCAGAAATGGGACCTAAAATGTGATCAGATCTTCACTCAAGTCCTACAAGTTCACAAGGAGAGCCAGTTTATACCACAAAAAATAATCCCTTATCTTTGGTGGAGGACTTTTGGCCCATTCCTCTTACAAAACCACATCAGCTCAGTGATGTTGGTGGGCTTCCTTAACATATTGGATTTAGGCTTTTCTTGTTCCCTTTGCTTTTTTACCTGTTCCTCATTTTATTTAGTGTAGTGTAGTTTGTTTCTCTATTGAAAAACTTAATAACAAAATTGAATTACAAAAAAATAAGATTTTGTTGTTAATAATAATAATGACCTATTAATGTTGTTAAAACAAATTAGGCAACCATACATTTTCAGAAATGTACTATATTACAAATATCAGGATTATTTCATCATTATAATTGCAAATTGAAACAAATTTACCAGCTGTTGGTATGGACAGCTGTATGGAAACCTAATGTGTGTGCGTGTACCTTCATGGACAGCAGGCGGGTCAGGTAGATCTCAGGGATGGCCTTGGCCCTCTCTCTCTCCCTCAGGCTGCCTCTGCGGTGTTTGGGCAGCTCAGGCTCTTCACTAGCTTTCACTAGATGCCACAGCCTCACTCCGCCTTCATCTGCATCCTCCAGCATTGGAGTCTCTGCATAAGTCAATGTTTTAAAAGCTTTATTTAATATCGTTCACTGACCAGTGGTGTTCAGTTAATAATGAAAATAATCGTTAGTTGCAGCCCTACGACAGACATGTTTCTGTTGCAGTCGTACACATAGAAAGGGTTTAGTCAGGATTCTGTTGGGAGTGTAGTAGAAGCAAAGGTGATTTTAAGGTGGCAGCTTGATTACCACGAGGAGAAACTGATTATTCATATTTGCAATAATACTGTTCTCATGTTAACTCACTCTCTCCTGCCACGTAGTCATGGTTGTCATGGTGAATGTTTTTGGTGTGGCGAGGAACCAGTGCTACTGTTGCACCGTCTGGGACCTGATGAACAACATATACAGTTAGCATGATTAGACTTCTTACTTTCAGAAATTAAAACATATTCTTTGAAAAGGAAGCATGTTAGTGAAGCCTGAAACTTCGACCTTGTAGTGCTGCAGTGTGTTGAGGCGTTTCCAGTTGCCTTGAACCACAGACGTCAAGTCCTCGTCCGACAGGATGAGATGACCGGCAACACCAGACCGCCACTCTGAACAAGACACAACAGCCAGACAGTCAGCCCACTGTGTTTAAAGTGTGTGCGCACACACACGCTTATCGCTGCCAGAACATAACAGAGTGAGATACTTAGAAAATGTAATATATTTACAGTGGAATATGTGTATGTACACTTCCAGGTGCTTTCCAGTATGTATTCCAGCTGGAGGAGCTTTGGTTAGTTACGGGTCTTACATCAGATTTTGTCATCTGAACGCACTGATAACTTGGGTTAAAGACTGACCAAGTAATGAACTTTTCTTGCTGTAGGGGGCACCACAGCTCAGCTAATGGAACTGAATTCACCTCACAAGTGTGTCGATTCAGAATGTCATAGCCATAGCTAAAATGCTACAATGGCTTTAATCTGTATATAAATCTGCGTTAGATGTGATGGGGTGTATATGGGTTCTCACCAAGGTCCAATGACTCGCCGTGGGGTCGGTGGGAGAAGGAGGTGCCCTTGTACACCTGATCCAGGAGCTTCTCTTTCACCTGTGTAATGGTGTCACAGTCCAGCACTTTGGAGGGCAGTGGCTGGCTCTCGTTCACTCCTCCACCCTGCACCAAAACATTTAGAGTCTGCAGAAGTAGGAAAAAGGAGGGATGAGAGAATGAAAGAGGGTTTAAAAAAAACACAACTTCCTAACTGCCATGGTGGCTGTGTAGGATTCTTTGCAAATGATCATTTTCTTTAAAGTCAGACTTCTCCCTACCAGGGTCTTGTACTCCACGTCCTCTCGCAACAGGCGGTTGTCATTGAGTGTGTACTTGGCCTTGCCGGTCACAGCGTCCACTGGTCCTTTATCTACCTGGTGCTTTATGGCCCTGAAAAGCATGTAAAGAGACTCCCCCGCTGAGTCCTGCACAAACACACACATACACACAGAAGTCAGTTAGTACTGACCTGACACACACTGCAGGAGAGCGCGAAGGGCTCAAATGGCACATTGTTATGCTAACATGCTAATGTGTCATAAAGTGCTTTTTGAGAGTCAAGGGACTGATGTATTATCAGTTTTTATTGGTCATGTATTTTGCTGCAAATATTATGTTGAGTAATGACTCATCTATTAAATTTGACAAGATCTAAGAAGGTTATGGGGTTTTTTTTCTTACTTGACTCCTACTAATACACTATTCAGTCTATTTAACAGTGTTTTAACTCTTTTCATAGCCCTTTGGTTCTAATAATATTGACTGCATTTTAAATAACATTAAAGGACCAGTTTAGTTGGTTTCTTGTAGTAAAGGGAAACAATTATTCAATTTATTACAAAGAGTTTGATGCCAAGATCAATACCACTCATATCTGTACGTTAAATATGAAGCTACAGCCAGCAGTCAGTTTCTTAGTTTAGAATAAGGACTGGAAACAGCTAGCCTGTCCAAGGGTGACAAAATTCAACCATCAGCATCTCTAAAGCTCACTAATTAACACATTATATCTCATTGGTTTAATCAAAAACCGAGGTGTAGAAATGTCATGCTGTGGTTTTGTGGAAGGTTATGTGCTCCAGGAGGTCACTGCTCCCAGCCATGCCGCTCTACAAGAAAGCGAATAAGCACATTTCCCCACACACACCAATTTATATGTAGAGTGGAAAGAGAAGTGGGTGGATGTTGGCTGTGGAAGGACTTTGGCTTTTTTGTCGCTTTCTTTTTGATTTTTTTCTTACACTGTCAGTCAATCAGTTTTGTCTGAATGGTGTGAAATCTGATTAAAAGATGGGTCATAAAGATAGTTTACACTATATGGGTTTTTCTCATGTCTCAGAGATCAAATTGGCAACCTTCTATTCACGAACACAGATCAAACTCTGTAAAATGTTACAACATTTCATTGTAGCAGCAATATAAAATCATGTCTTATGTGTTGGCTGACCCTGAGGAAAGCGTAGAGGCAGATGGACATCCAGTTGGTCAGCAGCTTCTCCACCACTGTTTCTGTTCTGCAGAGAAAAAACACACAGGGTTTGACTCGCATCTTAAAAACACCTTGTACCTATAACAACGTGCTCACCGCCCTTCTTCTTCTTCTTACCGTCGCAGCATCAGCTTTGGGTTCTTGGCCACATACTGCTCCACCAGGTCGTTGAGGAGAGTTTTGAGGATGTCAGTGAAATACTCCAGTTTGCCATGCAGCGCCACCGTCAGCAGGGAGGCCACGTAGGCCCTGTCCCTGGGAGAGAAAGTCCGCTGGCTCTCAAGAGTGTGAATGAACTGAGAAGAAGAGCAGCAAATTATCCCTCTGATCAAACTGCTGGTGTTGTCTTAACGCCTCATTATACTGACAATACTACCTTGGTGAGGAAGAGTTTACTGTTGAGCAGGTTGGACAATTGCACCAAGCCCTGCTCCACTGTCTGCCGCCGACACTCCTGAACGTCCAGGTCCCGTCTCAGCGGAGATTCCCGGTGGCCGGGGAAGAATATGCGCTCAGCGTACATCCGATAGTCAAGGAAAGGGATGCCAGAGCCCACCAGGTCACTGGACATGTCCATCATCTCTGTCATCAGGTCTGAAGTGGGGTAAGGGAGGGGGCATGAAAGATCAGGAGGTGTTGCTACAAGCTCTTTTGTCTTCAGCTTCTACTATATATTATATTCAAAATGCATGCTGGGAATGCTGTGTTGGAAGACTAAAAGTAAACTCCTCTGAAGCAGCCATGTGGGATGGAACATTTCATCCAGGACGTGTGATGTAATTGTATAATTTCATAAGGTGTGAAAACAAAGTGGATCTGTTGGCCACCATAAAATAAACTTTCTTGTTCCTATCCTCTCCCAACATCCTTCCTCTCTTTCCTGCTCTCTCGCTTACCCTTTTTTACACTCTTACCTGTGAACTCTTTCTTGCAGCGGTCTCTCACGCTGGTCTCCAGGTTCTCCAGTTGGATCTGGACCTTCTTGTAGTCTCTCAGAGCCTGCTTACTCTTTCTCCTGACAGGCACCAGCAAAGACGGGAACAGACGGTCAAGCAGGGATAGAGGAGAAAGGAGAAGTAAAACCAGTTTCACACTGGATTAGTGAAAATCCAGTGAAACTGTGAAAAGGGTGACTCAAGCCATTTGCCCCAACAAACCCCCAGCAGTAAGGATCAGGGTTAATCGTGGGGTCGTGCTGGGTCAGAAAATGGAAACACACTGTCTGATTTGGAAACACCCAAAGGTGATCCTGTTCCTATACTTCTCAATGTTCTTGACTTTACATGATCAAGTCACCATGTTCTTCCTCCCCAGTCTAATAATGATGGTTCTAAGTGTGAAAATAGGAGACAGTTGCACCTTCCCCCGTCCCTGTTCTACATCAATTTTATGTGGATTTATAAATATTTGCAATGGACATCTGAGCAAATATCCTAGGAAAGTGTCACACTGAATCTAAACATACGTGTGTTATATCTGTGTTTTCAGATTTGAGCTATAAAGTACTTTAAAAGCCTCCATGAGCTGTGTGTCACAGTCACTGCTGACCGTGTTTTTAGGCGGGCCAAATCAGTGGTCAAACTACAACAACTGACTCGCCTTTGATTTTAGAACAAGCTGTTCGTCTCACCTCATGCAGTAGCTTCGCCTCACAACTCTCCCTCTGGCCCCCTAATGCTTCTTCTTCACATCCTATTCATCATTTATGTTTTTACATTTATATTTTTGTATTCTGTTGCCTACTTTATGTCTGACAGAGCAGTAGCACTGAATGACAGGACGTAAAGTTGGTATCACTTTATTCCCATTTGCTCACATGCTATATGTAAAGCCTTTCGCTGGATTTCATCCACGTGCATCTTAGTGCTGCTAGATTAACATTGTTGTACAAGGGCTTCTTTTTTAAATCCTCTTCTGACTCATACTGTTGAGGAATACCAGAATCTCAATTTAAAATTTGGTCATTCACGGGGTTTCATATTTTATCAAGTTTGGTGATGATAACTGATAAAAGTATCACAGCAGTCTTAAGAAGACAGATTAAGAAGTGCACTCTCTGTGCACAATAACCTTGTGCTGCTGCAGCGTTTATAATAATCTAATGACCAATATCACCAAAAAACTCTTGTATAGTGCAAACAAAGTCCACAGTGCATCTCTAACTTTACTTACCAATTGACCAGATTATGTGTAATTTACTGACCTGTAAATGAGCACAATGATGAGGACGATGAGGGCTACTATGGACGCCCCGACTCCAACTCCAATCTGAGCCTCCAGGGGAAAAGTGGACAGGCTGAGGTTGTCATACTGAACCTTACCCAGGGAGAAGTTCAGGTTGCCCATTTGGACCTGAAACACACAAACCAGAGCCTTATTTCATCAGACAGAGCTTTCAAACAGCAGTGTCCTACCTTGCTTGATGAGACTTTATATCAGAAGGAAATTTACAATCTTGCAGAGTGGTGAACAGAGAGCCACCTAATGCTGCTGATTTTAGGAAAAAGGGGGCAAAAAAGGTAAAGAAAGCCCAGAAACAGCTATATTTCTTAAGGAAACTTGAGACGGCAAAATTCCTGTGCCAAGTTCATGTTAACTTTTACAGAGGAGCATCAGTGATATCGGTGAGGTGCCTGCAGAGCCCAAAGGATACTAAAGGACAGCACCCACCCAGCCACAGCCTGTTCACCCTGCTGCCTTCTGGGAAGAGATATAGAAGTTTCTGCTGCTGCACCACCAGACTGCAGAGCAGCTTTTCCCCCAAGCTCTTAAACTCAAATTCATCCTCAGCACTGCTCCACGTAAAATTATTTATTTTCTCTGATGTTATTTATCATATACCATCTAGTATATACATTTTTTGTATAAACTTTATAAACTTTTTTTTTAAGCAACACAAAAAGGAACTCCAACGTCATCTCGTTATACAAACCTGTGTTGTAAAATGATGAATAAATCTACCTTATATAAAGTGAAAACACGGAGGACTCACTGTGAATTCGGGCAGGTTGTCAGAGCCTTCACGTTTCTTGCCGTTGGGTCCAGGTGCAGGCTGCTGAGGCGGAGGCTCGCAGTACAGATGGTTTCTGGTCAGGGTCTTAACAGCACACACACCCTCCCCGACCAACACTACCACCTCGTCCTTAGTGATAGCCAGGTCCAGGTTTTCCCCCTGAGAACACATGGAGTTCATCTTAAATCTATTTTCACTTCCAGTTCTTGTCATTTTTTTTTCCTCTTAAAATTTTCCAGCCATACAAAAAAGTGAAAAACATCTATATATCTGCCTGTCTATCATTGCCTCTAACCTCCAGCTGGATGAAGCTGCCGGGGTTGTAGCGGTAGGCCTTTAAAGGGTCCTGTTGGTTCAGGGGCCGTAGGACGGGGTTGGGCTCGTAGCTGAAGGTCTGGGGGTTGAGACTGCTGAAGCCAAAGCGCAGGTTGTCCAGCAGAAACTCTACTGTGACCTTTGACCCCCAGATGGAAGAGTCCACCATAGGAGAGCGGCACAGGATCAGGGAAGAGGAGTTTACCCTACAGCGCTCCGTGAACTGATGAGAGAGATGTAAAACAGACTTTTAAAGGTGGGGTTTGCAGTTCCAATCCAATCCTCGTCTTTTTGTCAAATCTCATGGTCTGCTAGCTGTCCATTCTGTGTGTGCACTGAAAAAAGTCTGGTGTTTGTCATCCTGATTACTCAACCCTCATTATAACACTCTCTCATATTGGATAACATGTAGGAATAAATGTGACAGAATGCCCCTTTAGTAAAAGAAGAAACTTGCATTTAAAAATAACAAACTAACACACACACACACCTGTTTGACAACAGAGCAGAGTGGGTCTCTGGGACAGACAGGGTCAGGAACCATCCTCGCTGGCCTTCTCAAAGTCTTCTCCCGGTCCTCCCCTTGCTCTCCACTCCTCCTCTTCCTTCTCCTTCGCTTCTTCCTTTTATTCGGGCTGACCGACTCAAGGGGAGAGACAGCCACCACCATCTGCGGCTCCTGCACCACATCCAGGTATTCGCCCCACACGTAGATCAGCCGACCGCCACTAAACAGACAGAAAACTCTTAAATTCACAGCACTTCGATTTTTAGCACCTAAAAACTCAGTGAGGGAACAAACGGTTGAGAGATGAAGGCCAACGTCCCAGACTCACGCCAGAAAGCTCTTTGCCGGTGTGGCGTGGGTGATGTTGGGGTTGTCGGTGTAACAGTAGTTTGAACTGTGGAGGTGGCGCTGGCTGCTGCCATAATGCAGGGTGACCTTGTGATTTCCGGTCTTATTACTGCTGCCTGTCACACACTGAACACTGGAGCTCTGCACCTCTGACACACTGAGGAGAGGAGGAAGCACAAAGGAGAGCGATTAATAAATGATGTGATACTTTATTGACCCCAGAGAGAAGTTGTATTTTGTCCTCCCCCCTCTGCCACAAGGAGGTCAAAGGTCAGACTGACAGAGGGAACAGAGAGTGTCTTACATTTTACAGGGCACCCCTCCCACAGTGATGGTGAGGTCAGAGGAACGTCCTGTCAGCAGGTTTCGGCCAGTGATTGTCAGGGATGTTCCTCCAGCTTTGGGCCCCCTTCCAGGAAAGACCCCCATAACAAAGGGGTCCTGAGAGGGAGGAAAAGATGGAAGAAGACTGTGGTTAGAACTACAACTTCTCAAACACAGAGAAAGTGATGAAGAACCAGCTCAAAGAACAGTGGTGCTTGCAGTTAATATTCTACAATGTGCCCTTACTTCTCTTTTACTAACATGTGTATGTATGTGACATCCTGTCAATCGTGCGACATAAGCTCCAGTTTGCTAATGATGTTACATTCCATGTAATGCTAAAAACCTTAGTTGATCAATAGAAAATGAATCATCACTAATTTTGATAAATTACATTCATTGTTTAAGTCATTTATTAAGAAAAAGTAAGTAGAAAGAAAGAAAATAAATTCTATTCTCTGCTTGAAACTTCTCCAGTTATAGAACTTGTTGTTTTTCTGTGTTGTAAACTGAATATCTTTGGGTTTTGGACTGTTGGTTGGACAAAATAAGCAATGCAAAGACGTCATCTGGGTCTCCAGGAAATTGTGGACATGTATGACTTATTTTCTGACATTATAAAGAGTAAACGATTAATAAAAATAAAAAAATCAACAGATTAATACAAACCCTCTAATCTCTCTTCCTAATTTATTATCTTATATGTCTTTGATATTTAGTTATATTTTGCTATGTGCTACTGAAACAATACAGTTTTCACAGATGGGTCAACGACAGTCTTATCCAATCTACTATAATTCAATCTAATTTAATGTACCTGGTAGCTGAATATTTCGCTGGACAGGCCCAACTCTCCTCCACTCACTTCAACAGACACTTGGCCCTTCTTCTCTCCTCCACTGGCTTTGGTTCTGCACACAATCCTGAAAGACAGACATCACTCTTGGGATAGTTCTTATAAAGAGTCATGCATGCACCCTGGCAATGTTTAATTAAGATGAGAACAAGAGAATGACACACTTGCACATGCTTTGTAGTATGCTACGTTTTGAGAAACACGCTCAATCCACAGTATTCCATTCAAGTCCCTTACAACATGACAATAAAAACACAGAACTTCTGAACTTCTCCCCTACACCCCCTCAGCAGCAGCCCGTCTGTACCTGGAGGAGACCTCGTAGAGGCTGGGGATGACAGTGCAGTCCACCCCAGCTACTGACACAGAGTGGAGGATGTCTTCCGCCTTCTGGCCCAGGTTGGAGCCTGAGATGGTTACCATGGTGCCGCCTTCTAATGAACCAGAGAGTGGCTCAATCTGAGGGAAGTAAGGAAATGCTTCAATTTAAAATAACTTTTCTGGATGCATCTTTTTCTGTTAATGATTCATTTTGTAAGTGCCAATTTACTGAAGTTTTAATGTTGAATGATTGTAAAGGAAAGAGCTCTGATCTGAAACGTGAAAACAAATTGTCACTATAAGCATCTGAAATGTTAGGGTTATTATGTGTCTCCCACACTCCCAAAGTAAATATGTAAGTAAAGAGGTCAAAGGTCAGTACTCACAGAGTGGATGACAGGGGCAGGGCATGTCTGCTGGACCGGTTCACTGCAGGAGTCTGAATACAAACAGCTGGCATGAGCACCGCCACACCACACACAACCATACTTCTGGTCAGCAGTATGGCAGCGGCTGCAATCAGAGCGGCTCACAGAGCAGTTGTACAGAGTCACTGAGGGCAGAACAGACACACAAAAGTAAGCATCAGTCAAGGTTTTTGGAGAAAAGACTTGCAAAGACACTGTCTGAGGATAATGGCCCTATGTTGAGAGCAAAGAAGCTGCAAGAGAATAACTATAATCAGATCAGTTACAATCTAATGTAACCTTTAAAGAAACAACTTTGACCTCACCATATAGATCAGGAGAACTGTCCACATGGAAGGTGTCCCTCCTCTTCACATACACCATGGCATTGTATTCCTCCACTGGAGCAGAATATGTGTACTGCACAAACAACAATGGTTTCATTAAAACAACTACTATTTGTGACACAGTCACAATATCAGACATAAAAGTACTTTCATCCTGCCTCAAAAACATGAGTTTATCATATCTAAATTTTATACAGAGCTAATGTGGTTAAAATCTGTGTACTCTTGTCTGAATAATCATTCTGTTAAATGTTATAAAGAGTGACTGTAAATAATCAGACCTGGTGTAGCTGACAGGTGATGTCAAAGTTCGATGGATTCATGTCATCAGTCTCTACGTAGGCATCCACCACCACGGTCTGCCCCTCGATGACCAACACGCACTCATAGTCCAGCTCTGTGTCCTGAACACACAGAGACTTGCGTTTAGTGAAGGCAAATACAATCATCCTTGACATGTGTTGAGGAGTAAAGTGTGCGCGTGCATGTGGTGTACCTGATAGAGGTGCAGGTTGCGGGCCAGTAAGGTGATCTTCCTCTCCACTCTGACGGGGAGCAGTGATGAACCCTGGACCTTCTCCACACAGGGACAAGCGGAGGAACCCCAGCTGACATAGGAGCCCTCGTCCCCCTGTTGCCCAATACACACACACAAAGTATAAACAAGTCCTCTCCTCCTCATTCTCTGATGATGTTGACACACACACACACACTCACTCTTTCCTTATAGATTTTTGTTTATAATTTTATTCTTCTTTTCCTTTTGAATGTACAGTTCCCTGTTGCAAACATCATCGCTGAACACTGCTACACTTCTGCTGCTACTACTCACGCTGACTCATGCTCATCTTTAACATTTTATATATTTACAGAAAAGAATCACAATTACCATCGCAATATTGGTAATACTGAGATGTAGATGTGAAAAAAAATAAGGAAAAATGAAAACATTTACACACAATAACTTTTTTTTCTTTGGATCAGTCTATAAAGCAAAAGCAAAACAACAAAATGATCCGACAGGAAAGGAAAAGCAGGGAAACAAAGGGCAGGCGGGGAAACTGGTTTCAGCTCTGATCCAATAGCAGGAATCCAGTCAGAAGCTGGGAGCACTGGGAGGCTACTGAAGCTTTGAGAAGTAGTAGAAGAAGAAGGAGGAGGGAGGCGGCTGAACTCACCGGGAGGAAGGCATCAGCTGGATCATTCTGGTAGTCCAGCTCTAAATCAGTATCCACCATGTGGGAGAAGGATGGGGAGGTGTGATCAACCTCACCATCGCCCGACAACACAGTGGCAGCTGAAAATGTGGCCGTGTCATTTTCTGACTGGACGGCACTCTCAGCGGGGACGTCTACTTCTTCCTGAGGGTCCTCATGGTCAGGGCCTGGGCTTCTTGCTTCAGTCTGGAAGCCTTGTGTGGGCATTGGAGTGGGAGTCTGGGTCAAGTCTAGGTCAAGGGAGGGTTGAGAGTCCACTGGTTCAGCCACAGGGAAGGGCGTGGGCAGGGGGAAGTCAGATGAGGCCAGGGTGGGAGGCTCTGCCAGGCTCAAAGCTCCCTCAGCTTCATGGGTGTTGCTGGGGGGCGAGTTTGTCACCACCTCCAGGGAAGAGGAGTCCAGGTCATGGGGCGGGATGATCAAAGGCATCACAGGCTCCAGATCACCATCAGCCATGGTGACGGCTACCATGACAACACTGGGTGTAATCGCAGCACCGTCTGTGTCACTTTGGGTGACAACAACAAGCTCTCGTGCTTCAGTCTCTTCTTCCTTCCTGGTGGAGACCTCTGGGGGTAGAGGTGTAGTGGGTGCTGGTGGCGTAGATGGCAGGGTGCTGGCAGGCTGAGGGGGCAGGGTGGTGGGCAGGGTGGTTGGCTCAGGGCTGGTGGTGGTTGTAGGTGGAATAGTGGGCGCAGGAAGGGTGGTTGGCTGCTGAGTGGTTGCCACAGTGACAGGGTTTGCGGTTGTCGTTGCAGCGACAGTTGTTGTTGTTGGTGACATGGTGGTTGTTGTCATGGTTGTGGTTGTCAGGGCAGCTGTTGTGGTAGTGGGTGTTGTGAGGACTTTAAAAGGTTTGGTTGTGGGAGGAGCTGAGGTAGGGAGTTTAAACTGGGGAAGGGAGGAGGAGGGGAAGACATGAGGGTGAGACAGAAATAAAAAACTAATGGAAAATAACCAATAACGGAACTCAAATGTGATGTTAAAGACAGTTATTGTTGCTTATGACATATCAATGACTTTTGTTATAAATAATGTATGCTTGTGTTGGCACATGAGGCATAACAAAAAATGTTGAACATTGATGAATGTATGTAAAAATACATTATTTCTAAACAGAAAAAACTTTGACCATTTATCTACTTACCAGGTTCCTATGAATAAAAAGTACTGCCGTCAAGTCGTCAGTGTAAGCTCATAATTTATTATTTATTTATTTATTTAGTTTGAAAAAATCCCATAATTAACCAGTAACTGAAGCATTTTTTTGCCAGGTAGCAGTTTTATTTTAGATCTTGAAGGACTATGGGTTGCCTTTTGTTTGTTTGTTTCGTGCATGTGCACAAATGTTTTATGGGGAAGGAAATGTATTCTCCTGCTTGTTAGATCTCCAGAATAAACACAATATACTTTGCTAACAAACACTTGCTACTGAAATTTTGCAATTCTGATTAGCTGGCAAGCGTTCACTCATTTCTCATCTTCATCTATTGCTATAGCTGAACACTTATGTTTAAACCTTCGCAATATTAAACTCTATGTAAAGACAGCAGCAGTGTGGCTCTGCTGAAGAGCTTGGCGCTTGTGTTAGTGATAACCATTGTTGCTACTTTACTTTGACCTTGTAATTACCGTTTTATTGTTGCGCCTTGGTTGTTTTCTGCTATATCAATAAAGTTGACATGGACATTGACAACCAAAAACAGCTAACTGCCACTAGATGACGTAAAATTGGATTTCCAAAGTGTTTGATATTTGCATCAACTTGGATGTCCAAATCAACTAAAAAGTAGGAGAACAGTTCTGTAAATCCAAACAGGTGTCTTAATCTTTGTATTTTACACCTCAGTGAGCACTGCACTATTAGATCCTCTGTTTGAGTAACTTACATGTTGGTTGTAGATGATCACCCCCTCCTCACAGGTGGGCTTGTGGGTACACAAGTGCTGGTGAACACACCAGTTGCAGCCCCATCGGCTTAAAGCACAACCACGGCAACTGCATTCAGAAATAACAGATTAGGGTAATCAAATAATAGCCTCTTTGGAAAGACTTGCAGCAAGGCAACAAAAAAGTAAAGGGGAAAGAAAACAGTGAGTCAGAGATAGGAGCTAAGAAGAGGAAAGTGGAAAGAGAGGTCTAACAGAAGTAGGATGGGCTTTTTATCACAGTGGTAGAAGGGAGAATAGAAAGAGAGATACATCTACTGTAGCTTGTAACACACACAGTAATCAAATTGCTGCTAGTCTGGCCCCAATGTGGTAAGAAAGGTCAGTGATCTAATTGAATCGAGCCTCAGTTTCTTATCAGGGTGGTGGGGAGAGGAGAGGAGAGGAGAGCCACCACAAACAGAGAGAGGCTAATAGAGCAAGCATGTGTGTTACTAAGCAAACACTCAATACTCTATCAATCGATCTATTTTGATTAGTTATTGTTATAATTGCAGCACTACTTTTAGTTAAGTGAAAGCATAAAATCCAGTGTAAAGTGTGCCAATACCAAAAAAATAGGGAAATCAATGAATTCCATCCATCGTCAACCACTTATCCTGCGTACAGGGTCGCGGGAACATCAATGAATTGAAAAATGAAATGAGCCAGTGCTAGATAAAAAGATTTAAGGGTGATGGATAATCATATAGCTTTATATTTCTTTGTATTTTAAGTATATAACTAAAATTTTAGTTATATTTTGACCTGTCAGATAACCTCTCACTGTCATATCCGCTCAACTACATCCCTCTATGGACCACTTAGCCTTTTAAAGACATCTAACCAACAGTTCTGTCACAGTACAGCGTTGCTCTGATGATATGTCTCGGGTCGGGTCGGGTCGGGCCTGATACGACTACTGATACTAGTAAATTTGTCATGTTGTTGTCTCCGTATGTCCGACAGCAGGATTTAACACTTGCCCACAAACGGAGTGGAACAGGCAGCCTTAAGTGGCGATTTAGGGGAGTGGATTTTGCTAATGATCAAATCTTACGGACGAGCATCTAATAATGAACAGGTGGTATTCATCAGCCTGAAACGAGCACTTTATGGCAGCTTTTTGGATATACGAGGGTTTGATCCCTCCCAACGTATGAGCAAACTTCACTGAAAAAAGTTCGAAAAAATGTGAAAAGCATGAGGTTCAATGTCTTCCACCTCTCATATGATGGAGATATATCCTGAACAAAGCCAGCCAGTGTGGTATGAAGGTTACAGTTAAACCCAGGCTCAAGGAGCGCAGCTGAGTCACGTGATGTTTAGAGATAGAAAGACTCGGGAGAGAGCGTGAAAGGCAGGAGTAAGGTGCCTGCAGCCTTCATGGGCATATGCTGAGGATATATAATATATTCACATAATATCATATATGGACATGAAAGAACATCTGGCTGAAGTGTAAGAGAGTTTTAAAAGTACGGGGTCACAGGGGTTTGAGGAGAAGAATTAAAACCGGGGAAAGCAAGAAATTGAAAAACAGAGGGTGAAGATAGAGGGACAAGAAATTAACAGGGTACAGAATGAAGAATAGATAGAAAATAAGACTAGATTAACTGGTCTGCAGAGAGAGCAGAGCAGATCGGGAGGAGACAGGACAGCACAAGTGATAAATCATCAGTGGTAACTCACGGCATGCTGCCAGACAGCTGCTTAACAGCCGTGCAGTCGTAGAAGGTGAAATCTCTCTCTGTGACTGTGACATCGCCAAAGCGAAGAGACAGGGTGACTGTGACAAAGTCTGAGGGAGACAAAACACAGAGAGAAAGACAGCATTAGAAAGACCTGAAAACAACAGAGTAACACCATGTTTCACCTGAGCACAGAGCTGAGCAAGCAGGGCTCCGAAAATATTTGGCCAGGCTTATTGTCTCAGATTCAGAAAGTCTTTCTCAAAACAGTGAGAAAATGTGGGAGATGGTTTGATCCAGACAGCTAAAATAGAAAGGCCTAATAGAACCCATGTGCACCCTCCATCCTCTGCCCAGAGAGTGCAGACATAAACACAGCATGGCTCAAGGCTATGAGGCATCTCAGGGAAGGCTCAGCACAGAACTTTGTAAGTTGTCCTGTTTTAAAGCTGAATGAGGCTTCATGGGTACATTTGATTAAAAAAATATGACAAGTACAGTAAACCAAAGTTGAACCAGAACGTTTGTTTGTTAACTGTGATGGGTGCTTACAACAGACAGTTTAGCTAATATCAAAACTTAACAGGTAGATAAAGTTTCGCGCCGTGACGCATGTTGGGGTGTGACGTGGCTGCGGTTCATCGGCTGAAGGTCGGGAGCTACGCCGGGCTATGAATTATCGCACGTTATGGAATGGTCACAAAAGGACTTAAATGTCACTTCCTTTGTCCTCTAGGTGGCGCTAGACAACTCCCGCTAATTTTATGTTTTGGAAAACGCTGTGAAAATGTGATGTAAAACAAATAACTTTTGTCACAAAGGGCTCAGTGGCTCCCCAGTAGGTGGCACTGTGACATTGATCGTTGGCACAGATATCCAGTAAAGTTACAACAACTGCAAACATCAAACTTCGCCACCATGCCACGAACAAGCTGTAATGCGAAAACTCAAAGGCTTCAGAACATAGCATCATCAATGTCTTAAGCTCCTCTGAGACTGTTTTGAGGTGGTGGGGCCATCTTGCTAGGAGTAGGGACATCGAGGCGTAAAACTTCCTGTTGCCAGTGGGGGGGGGGGGGGGGGGACTGTTATCATAGATGTAAATTTTGGTACAGATGTGAGCATGTACACTAAAGACAACACAAAACAACTTTCATGGTGAATGATCGATCTTTGACGCCATGCCGCGGCCATCGACAGAAAACTTGCAGAAAGCACAACTTTTCGTCGTCAATGCCTTTTGACCGCACAGCCGAAATTTGATCGATCAGATTCTGTTGAAGTACGCACCTTGTAAATGGCCCAAAATTTGTTGCACTTTCAAATCAAAATGGCTGACTTGCTGTCTTGATGTGAAACATGTCCCCAAAAAATTGGGAGTGCACCCCCATGCACGACTCCCATATGACACATAGATTATCGCCAATTCTGACACGTGTGCAAAGTTTTGTGAGTTTTTGCGCACCTTTAGGGTGTGTTTCCTTTCTGAAAAAGAAAGAAAGCTTCAATAGGGTCCTCGCATGTTTCATGCATGGGCCCTAATGATCATGATTTTGATGATTTTTGCAAGGATCTGTACCAAACAAAGATGTTTTCTTAAGTCTGTAGCATATGACTGATCTGCAGCACGACAATATTTTTTTAAACGGTATTTTGACACATATTTTGCCATTCACAAATATTGCAGTAGGCCATATTGCAATATCGATACAATTTCGATTCATTGTTCAGCCCTACTGGTAGGCTTTGTCTTCTCTTCCAAACTTCACTGTTCTGATCGTTTGAACTCTTAAGCGATGTCATAGTATTTATAGATCTTGGCAATTAACATGAGGAGTACAGCATTATCAATGATAGAAATGAGCCCCCGAAAACAAGCTGTATGAAACCAGAATTTTACTTGTACACATGCCAAAAGGACAACATATCTAACATACTGTAGGTGAGTCCAGTGTCCTTGCTGCTACTTAAAAAGTTTTTAATTTGACTTTAAAGCTGCACTGGAAAAAAACTCTGCTGCATTACTTTTTTCAGGAGGGCCACTTGGCGGAAGCGGAAACAGCTGAAAACACAACAGTGACATATTCTCAACAGTTACCCTTTACACATCCAGCAGACACAGAAGCTGCGTTTCGACCAAAAGGAACTATACCCTGGAACTAGGAACCTTTGGAGGAACTCACTGTTTTTCCACCGGAGAGACCAGGGTCTAAATTTAGGGTCTTTATTTTACCTCCCAAAAAGTCCCTGCTCGGGGGTATTAACTTTCTGAAAGTACCGGGTACTTTTGGGGGTGGGGCTTGCCTTGCAGTGAATTTCTGAATGGAGGAGTAGCGGCTACTGGCTTTAACTGGAGAATGTCCGGTGTTTTTCTACGACTGCTCCCCTCTTTTCCACCGTTGTTTGCAAACAAATAAAACACAATCAACAGTCAAATAGCACATCTCCGCCCGAGATCAAACGTCGGCATTAAAGATATTCCTCGGAAACAGCAGCCAGCGGGCAGCGGTGTGTTTACAGCGAACAGCTGATGGAGTTAAATACTGGGTCCGGAGTTGTTGTTTTTACACAGAACCGAAGTCGGTCTCCTCCTCTCCAAAACAAGCGGAACAGCTTATTACAGCAGGTAATTAAGCTAGTTAAAATCATGTTCCTCCCACACTCAGGTCTGCAGCTCTTGTCGGCTCGAAATGTTTTAATATCCTTCCAAACTGTCGTGATTTTATTTGTGTTGCTTTCTCTGTGCTGGAGTTATTTTAACTTTATGGCTTTATCCAGTTTGTTATTAAATGTGTAAGAAAATGTATCGTGTCTCTTCATTATACTCCCACACAAAAAAGCTGCTTTAATGGTCAAGCAAAGCCTATAGTTCTTCATTATATTCCAATCAGATCTGATGTTCATTTATAAATGTTGCTCATGGATAGTGGTTACAAATAATGATGCCTGTGCATCGCTGTGTACGGCGTACAGGCCTACAGCCTGTCAGCTGGTTCATTTGCCTAATCTTCGCAGGTCTTTAGACCACGGTGGAAACAGTGGGCTGAAGGAACCTTTTAGTTCCTTGAAAAGAGATCTGGGGACTTAAAAGTACGACACTTTTGGTCGAAAAGCGGCTAGAGTTAAGGCTCTTTCAGACACAACGCAACTACAGCACCACTGCGCTCTGAAACCCATTATTTCCAACGGCTTGCACCGCACTAACTTTGCCAAAACAATGAGCTGTAAGGAACTGCAGAGTGGAGAGATAACTTTCTCTGGGTTCACCACTACAAGTGGTTCTTTTCATATTGCATATAGTCATTTGATCAATTGTTGATTAGTACCGCTTTAAGTTTCCAGCTTGTTGCTTCCTGTGAGTGGAGAAATACCCATATACCCACTAGCAGAATTTATTATGAAGTGCTTTTTTGTAGTGTTTGTGAGATGCTATTTGACTTTCTTTACTTATTCAAAATCATTTTTTATTTATTACTTTAACATTTTATATACAACATTTGCTGGCAGATGAGGATGACAGAATGACATTTTGGACTTTTTGCACATCAAACTAAGTCCACTTCAGAAGCTTTGCTGAACAGGCAGCCGTCAGGGTTTAATCGACCTTTAACGTTAAAGCAACATTTGCCCTTACAGGCCTTCAGCGCCGTCTTTTATTAAGTGAGTGCTGTCACTAACCCTCTTTAAGGTAAGGTAAGCCACAGCTAGATCCTTAACTATAGCCTGTTTGTCCATATCCCATCAACCCCCACCCCCCTGGCTGATTCTGCCTGAGCCCTGCACCCTGAGAACTACAAGAAGCTGCAAGCGTCAGGAATGCAGGCATGGGAACTGAGGGGGGGAGAGACACAAATCATGTGAATGTTTGGGTGAGTATGACCTCTGTAGAGACTTCAATTTCAATTTTTATTTACAGGCCCCTTTAATCTTCTTTTATCATTGCCACTGACTTGCTATAACAAACAAGCTGCTCAAAGCACACTAAACAATAACCCAAAACTAAGAAACCCAAAGGCCAAATCATAGCGTAGAATCACTAGATGAATTGGATTTGTGTAGACTTATATGCTTTAAAATACAGATTACTCCCTGCTGTGTAAACTGTCTTAGCCTAGATTAATGGACACAGGGATTGAACTGTATGTGTGTGTGTTTCAGTCTAAGTTGTGAAGCTGATTCGGGTTTTTCTGCCTGTGTTTCGGGATCATGTACGGCTGAACCGAAGCCGCAGTTACCGGCTGAAACGGCTTTGTTTTCGATCACACTACCTTGCTTATCAGGACCTGCCTTACTTGGCTTCTGATTGGCTAGTAGTCCTTACCCAGGTACTGCGCATTAGCAACTCCCAACAAAGATCTAACAGAAGTGAGACGTTTCTCTTGGTAGCTAAAACCGAGCGTACAACCCTCGGGGTAGAAAGAGAAGCTGCAGCAATGTGCAAGATGACAAAATATGGTGTTTTGTTAAAATGTAAACCTGTTCTGGTACAACCCCTAAATATAATTATGAAAATGAAAATGAGCATAATATGACCTCTTTAAACTCCATCTTCATCAGCGTCAGAAACTAAAACACACTCACCCTGTCCTGGAGGCACCAGAGGCACTTGGCTGATGTCTGGAGAATGGCAGGTTACCCCGTATTCTGTGATAACGGCGGGGCTACGGCTGTCCTGGAAGAAGCAGAAGTAGGACTCATCTTTCTCTAACACTGGAAGTCCTGGGACTGACAGAGACACCTGAGGAAAGACAAAATATTAACACCGAGTTAAATTACTGGCAGATCACTTCAGACTTAGCTACTGTGAATGTGGCAGACTTCAAAATTCCGTATGGGATCCTTGTTTGCAGATTAGACTTAAAGCAAACTACTACGCAGCTCAGTGTGGCCACTCAGATCAGATGTCTATAGTTACCTTTTGTCCTTTGCCCATCCAATTTGACAAGAGGAGGAAGAGCAGAGGACAACTGCCATCCAGCAGCAGACTGGTAGAGCATGGGGAAACTTTGTATAGAAACAGAATAAGTTCCCAAACGCAGCAGCCAGTTATTAGATAGAAATCTCTGCATTACTAAGTCCACACCTGTGCTGTTACAGAGGACAGTGAAGGTCATGACGACAGTAAGTGAACTGTCTGAACAAATAAATCTCATCTGCTCACTTGTAAATGTCAGTGATTTGAAAAGTAAATTAGATTCCACTGCTGCAGGGACATGAATCATACCGATCAAAATCCTTGAGTTATTGCTTGTTATTTCTGTTTTGGCTCCACCTGTCTTCCTCATTCATGTGGTGTTTCTGCATAGCAGTTCCAAGATATCATCTGACAGCCAAACAGTATGAACTCTGCAGTGATGTCCTCTTTGGATTTTCTGTAGATGAGGTTTTAGTTTCCCTAAATGTTTTGGATTGTCTGTTCAGCAAATGGTGTTTATTAGTTTTCGGTGGTAAGGCTGGTCTCCAAGCTCAGGAGGCTTTAGTATGCCAGAAATGTGCGGTCAAGAAACAAAAGCTGGCATTGAATGTCTGGTCTGGTCTACTGAGCTCCTGTAGTGATGTCTCGTACAAAGCATCATACTGACAGGTGGAATCAACAGAGTAGCTAGCAGCAGCTGCTGATAGCAGTAGTCGGTGGCGAAAGTAAGTGGTAGCATTCAAACTCTGCAAATCACCGCCATGATCCCAATTACCAGAACTGATTTGAGTATAAATGTATCACTGTCTAAATGTATCTGGTGCTGTTGATCTGCATACTGCCTGATTTTAGCAGCTTGCAAGGTATGGTAAAGTTAACGTTACAAATGTGAACGTTTAGTTTGCATATAGAGATGTTCGCCACGTTGGTAAGCAAGCTAAAAAGCTTAAAACAAATTAAAGCGTTAACACTGCCATTAATATCCTCTGAGAGCTTTGCACACACACATACTGCTCTGCTCGCAGCGGCTTTTTAAAACACAGTCATTCTTAAAGTAACGATACCAATAAAAGGCAGTACTGTATTGTTTTTAACAGCAGGGTATTGCGATACTTTTCTAGTCGGTATAAATCGGTATATCATGCAACACTATTTATGAAGTTGTGTTTTTGTACAGTAATCAATGAGGCCTAGTCTCGCATAACAGGCCTTGATTCAGTGCTGTGCAACCAATTGACTGACTAATCATTAGGGCCGCCAGCTACACATATCACATTTCACGAAGGCACGGCCCCTTTGTCAGTTATCTCCACCTGCTGATATTCAACCATTTCTGCAATGTTTAGTACAAAATTATGATTAAATTGAACCCTTGGTTTGGTATTTGATCAGTGTGTACAATTTCATGGACGAATTGCATATTGCATGGTGGAATTGTTATTTGATAAGGCAATGTAATTAAAACTAGCTACCTAAGTGGTCAGTATTAGCACATCTACAGTATATGTTAGCAGGACTGTATACATTAGACAAGAATTACACCTACACCTAACCACATCAGATTCACAGTTCCAAAGAAACATGCAGTTGATGCCAACTGATCTTATCAACACCCACCCAGCTTATTTAGACATATACAGATATTTTGACTTAAAAGAAAAAATGTTCTTGAGTCGTCCTCTCCTATGTTGCAACACAGTGTGTGTGTATTGTGTATATTTTGGCCTCTGCTGCTTTCCACAGGCACCGTCTTCCACACAGATGCTTTCCTCCTGCACCAGGACATGACAGGACAGTGCTGTGATCACTATCTTCTCCTGACGCCCGGGCACTTAAAACACACACACACACACACACACACACACACACACACACACACACACACAGTACCCCCAGCCAGCGTACAGTAAATCTCCCTGCCAAAGAATCTGGGATGAGTTATGACGAGGTGATATGTGGGCCTGAGCTTTACTGTGTTTTGGTATGTGAGGAGACAATAATTATTGAAGGGGAACATGTACAGGCAGAATATGACCATAGACACACTGTACTCACAATACAGGGACTTTTCTGAATTGCAAGATATTCTTGAGGTGCATGATTTTTTTAATCTCCAGTCAACAGAAACCTCGAATCCTTTATAAGAATGTTTACAGACAGGTAGGTACGTCAAGAGTTTCCTTTTGCTCCTTTGCTGCTTGAGTTTATGTAACTGTATTGCAGACCTACCATCCTGCTCTCCTCCCTGCTGACGTTGGATGGGTTGAGGTCCTGGACGGCCAGACACTGCTGCTCCATGTCAAAGCTCCATAGCCACTGACCTTGCTGGTTCCCACGAGAACACTCTGAGCGCAAAATGCACCTGCAGGGATAGCACCAAGGATTCCTTGTCACCTCATGTACACAATCTTCATTATGTTGTGAACTAAAGCTAGGCTCTATATCTCTATCTGTCACAAATAGCCACGTAAACCATGAAAATGACCTTCAGTATATACTCCAAATCCATAAACCATACTCTCTGATTATAAAACTGCAAACCAACTCCTTCCTGGATTGTTAACATGTTCGTCTAAATAGTTGAGAGGTCCGTTTTCAAATCTGTTCCTAGTTCACATATATTTTTAATATTATGTAATTTTACTTTTTTGATTAGATAAACAGATTCCAAACAAGGAATGTGTAAAATCAGGACTGTTATGAAGCCAGGAAGAACAGAAGAAAATGAAAGGAGTACAGATGGGAAGGGTAGAGCAGAGAGAAAAACATCCAGGTGAGAGGGAGGTGGGAGGCCAGGTGGTGAAGCAGAGCAGAGACTAGAGGGGAGGAGACACAGATGGGATGGAGAGGTAGATTTCTTTCATCAGACTTAAACACAATCCCAGACCACACTGTCAGTTTTCAAGATGACTTGGCAAATACACTTCAAAAACTAACAAGGGTGCTGACTGGTCACACGCTATAGTATAAGCTATAAGGTCATACCAGCCTAGGGCTGGGCAATAAAACAATAATGATCATGATCGTAATATAGTTTTCCTCAATAACAATATAACAAATGTTCAATATATCGTCAATAAATGTTTGATTAATTCATTTGAATCATGAATGAATTAGCACTTAGTTTTACTATTAAGATATTTATTTTGTTGAGGAAAAAAGATAAGGAAATGATGCAACAGTGGATAAGACTTTTTTTGCCTTTGGTGTGAGAGACCCGGTTTCAATTCCCGCTGAGACACATTCACCAATGTGTCACTGACACTTAACCCCTAGTTGCTCCAGAGGTGTGCAACCTCTGACTTACAAATAAATGAATGTAAATGTAATCACAATTGTTTTGAATGATCTACCTCAGATTTGTGAAGTGATCCACTGCATAAAGTGTTTGTCACGTTCTGACCATAAATAATAGTTTAACCACCCAATTTTCACTCAGGAGAAAAAAAATCCAACTTTAAACTTGAAAGAAAAAGTGTTTTGACATTTATCGTGATAATTATCGATATCAAATGACATGAAATGTTTTTATCGTGATTTTTTTATCGCATTTTTGGCCATAACGCCCAGCCCTATACCAGATCAAGTAAAGCTACTCATTAATGCTAGCTAACTTTAGCAAACCTGTATCTGTATCTAGTTTTTGTGGCCACTCAAAGCGCTTTTATACTACATCACATTCACCCATTCACACACTGAGCCTACATGCTCAAACAGAAACTAACATTCTTACACATTCATACATGAATGGAGCAGCCATCGTGAGCTGTTCAAGGTTGATTTGAATACTTTGGTAGAAGACTAAATACCTACAAAGCTAATGACATGGTGATCATGGTATACAAAATACATGCTTAGCATCAGCGTGTTACCATTGTCATTATATGTTAGCATGCTGACATTAACAGTTAGCCCTTAAGTACGTACCACTGTACCTAAATGCAGCATCACAGAGCCAGTAGCATGGCTGTCGACTCTTAGTCTTAGTAAATGACAATAAACTTTGAAAACTGTCACTGATTCATTTATTTATTGATCAACTAGTTGGTTAATGGACTAGATGGTTAGATTAAATAAATTATATTGCACCATAACCTTTAGTTCAAGTTAAGTTCATTTTCAGCCACACTTTCTAGGATGCTAGATTAGGACATATAGTAACTAAGTAAGATTTTATTCATATAGCACTTTTGAAGTGCTAAATAAACACAGGGAAGGCAAGTTGGTTAAAATGGGTTTTGAGAAGTTTTTTTCCAAGCACTTTACAGACTCTGATCTAACTGAGTGGAGAAGGCTGTACCAGAGAGATGGGGCCCTAACGGCAAAAGTACAGTCGCCCTTGGATCTGCGAAGGGTGCGTGGTATAAACAATAGACCTTGGCTGTATGATATCCAGGGATGGAGTTAACTGCTTGGCGTTTATCTCACCTTCCCTCCAGGACACACCAGCCACAGTAGGGGTCGTGGGCCAGCAGGCAGGAGTGGCAGTCTGGGTGCTGCTGGCATTCAGCCACCGGCCTCTTCTGCAACTGGAACGAGAACACAATCATGCTCAGTCGCGCAAACTATGCTCACTAAGCTTCCAGAAATCTGATTACAAAGAATAGGTGGCCCACATTTGGCAGTGGAACAATGCAAAATGAAAATACGGTCATTTGAATAATCCTAACTACAGGCTGCCTTACTGGAAGAGAAGAGAATTGGGGCAGAAACAAGGCAGTCTAAATTATTTCTCTTAAGCTTTATTACTAAAACACAGGAAGGACATGTTTAGAAAGAAAAGCATGAAATGAGGCTACAAGGGTGCATCACTGTATGCTTCAATATCTGTGTGTGCGTATACCATGTTATGAGTCATGATGAAGAGATGTTCCTCTTTCTGGTCCAGGATGAGGTCTGAACTGATAGCTGCGTTCTGCTGAATGGAGATGACGGCGTACTCCCCCACTTCGCCGTTTGGCCCCAGGAACACCTAAGGAAATGTACATATACACATGAATGATGGGATTAAGCAATCATTTGACAGACAGCTGAATAAAAAGAAACACTGAGCTGCGGCTGAAAATGTGTATTTCTTTAAAATGTCCTTGTGTTAAGCCTTGATTTTAATTGAACATAAAAAAAGACAGTTTAATTATTTTTCCTTCTTGCTATTTCACACTGTAATGGCATATTTTAAAGAATATAACCACACGGGTTATAATAAGAATTTAATTTGGAGGAGAAGGAAAGAAAAGTATATCCAGTTTCGAAATTCTGCACCACAGGATGGTGAGACAAAGATAGGTTTGACAGTACAAAGAGACAAACCTCGATAGTCAGGGCCAACAAACAACCCGAAAACATTAGGAGGCCTCTGCGAGCAGTCTGACGACGCAATCCAGAGCTGCTGTAATATGGGTTAATACGCGAGGGCAGACGGACAAACTGCTTCACATCAGCCTTCTGATGTTGCCTTAACATAAGCTTCATTCCATTTAATGTCATCAGTGAGATTTTCCACTGTTAGGGGAACTCTGCTGGAAAGAGACAGCAATCATCCAAATGGGAAAATCCACCACAGGTCAGGAGGAAGTGTTTATTCCCCGATCTACCCAGGGATGTGGCAGGATGTCTCCCTGATGCCAGGCTAATCCGATCGTCCAGGTATCTGGAGCTTTGATCCCACTGTGCCTCAAAGACAGACTGTCCAGGCTTTAATACAAATTACTGAAACTACACAACAGATGGTGAAACAGAGAGTGACTAAATGACATTCCGCTCTTCAAACAAGTGAAAGAAGAGCAGAAGGGGCTTCCCTCTGTTAACAAGGCAAGGCAATAATTTCACGTTTTTTTGTGGGCAGGTCAAAATTTATGGACCCTCAAAAGACAAAAAACCCTCACAAAATATTTAACATAAGATATAACACAAAGACAGATTTCAAAGGAGGAGTGGGAACTGTATGAAAGAAAATTAAACTGAAAGCTGCTTAATAGCCATTGCATTATTGCTGCACAAACCCCTCTTCCTTCCACCATTACTCAATGAGCTGACCTCAACAAAAGAAACATTTAGAGATGGAATCCTAACTGGTCAGCAGTTCATCTTCGGGCAACAGTTGGTGAGCTTTCAGGAATCAGACTCGACTTCATGAAGTTCTCTTGTTATTCCCAGTAACTGCAATTAGCCAATTACTGCACACCATGTTTATCGGGCTGAGGCCAACAACACTGGGTGGGGGCCAACATGTTGCAATCAAAATAAATGGTTAGATTATATTTTCTTATCTAATTATATATAAACAACAAGGGAATTTCAGAAAACCTGATATGACAGTGTTTGCTTACCCTTTCTTTTAGTTAAAACACAACATAAAAAATATCATGTCTAAAAAATACTTCACACAGAAAGCTACTGAGTGACAGAGACCAGATTAATTAGGCTGAATGTAGATTGGAAATTATACATTATGATTATAAAAACTAATCTAAAGAAACAAACAAAAGACAATGGTTTGGTTTCCCATTTTATCATCAAAATGTTTTGCGGATAAAGATAACGAATAACAAGTTATGTTTATTTGCCAAGCGAGGAAATACTGGAAGGTGACCTGATGGAGAAGAAGCTCCATGATGTATTGTGAGAACAAGACATCACAGATAAACTTTAATCTAAAGAGGGGTGCTGATACAATCAGCAGGGAAATAAACCGCCAAGTGTCTGAAGTGATTGAACAGCAAGAAGCATAGAGCCCATTTTAAACTAAAACAGAGACACAGTGTCAAACAATCTTTAGTATCAGCACAGTTCAGAGAGGAGGTAAATAAATGATTCCGACTCGTGTCATCTGTAGACACCGGCATGGCTCATAACTGGAGCTAGGACAGCTCATGCATGTATTATAGAATTACCCATAATGCAGGGAAATACACATGACCTAAATGCAACTCTGTTTGTTCATTAATGAATAAATGTTCTGCATCAAATATCCAAACATTAAATTATGTGTCCAATGAAATCACATTTACAGCAGTTCAATTTCTTTGTAAAATCAGCATGAAAGTCCTCCTGTTTTATTGTTTTGTCAGCATGCCTCTTAGTTAGGGGACATTAAGGATTGAGCGGATTAACGATAGCTGCACAAATTGGGATCCATTTTCTGGGATGTGCAGAGTTTCAAATTTAAATACATTTGTGTCTAAACGTCTTGGTCACTTTACTCTCCCTGCACGACACACAGAAATCCAGCTGCCATCCTTCAGCTGGATAATTCCCTTTTACACAGAGTTCAGATGAACAGTTAAGTGTGCTACCACAGTTTGAATTTAAAGGTTCATTGCTGGTGGTTGCAGTCAGGAGGACAGACTGACAAAGTGTCCATTAAGAACAGTGAAGTGACACTGACACCGTCTGCGGTTATAAACGATATCTCTGCATAATTCTGAATGAGTCTCTCTGTTACGAAGTGCACGTGTCTGCCAGTCAGCAATGACAGTGCACACCACAAGTATGGAGCTCCGTTATCTGGTCACAGTGATGTGAGGCTCGGGGTTTAGCTGGCTCTGTGACGTAACTGTATAAAATTACGTTAATGGCTGTCATTGTGCTATTTCTGCTTGGCAAGGGGGCCTCAAGCACAAGCCACCATTGAGAAAAAAAGGAGACAAAGAGCCAACTGTGTGGAGGCGAGCTCACGATCTGTAAACTCCTGATATCGAGGGGCCTCCCTACAACCTCCCTGCTCCACTGCCCCCCCTAGCTTAGTCCAGTGTTTCATGTTATTAATCAACGACAACAATCAATCGATCATCACCTACATTGCTTTTAAACAGGTTCTATTCAATTACATCTGGCTGATCAGCACATTCCTCGAGTCTCCTTGTGTCTGACTGAGCTTCACTGTGACCTCGTCTGAACCCACAGACACACCAACATTGATGACCCCACCATGACTCAGTTGGACCCCTGCGTTCAACCGCAGCATCTTGGAAATCCGACTGACAGATCCAACTGTTCACCATGACTGAAAGGTCTGGACATTTCCATTAAGGGGAAACCAGTGGCAGCAGGGACATCCCCTTAAAGAATACTGACAGACATCAGAATTTACTACTTACTGTCCTCCATCCTGACACTAAACCAAAGAAAATAAAGGAATATTGTGCAAGTCCAGACTCACTACCATAACTGGGGTTTGACAAAATATTACAAACAACTTACAGTACAATGCTGCAGCCCCCAAAATGAAGAAGATAAAGAGTTTAATAAAAACTAATAAGCTTTAAAAAGGTAGAATGGATTAGTCTGCTGTATTGGATTGAATTAAATTGGTACTAGGTGTGCCTCACAGGGGGAACAAACACCAGGAGAAATATACACAAAAAAATACACACACTAGAGATGAAACGATTACCGCTTTAACAGTAAACCATGGGAAAATTCCCAACGGGTATTATTACCGTACACCTTTTAATTACCACAGTAACCGGGTACGGTTAACCGCGCTGTTATAATCCCCCGGCAAACGCTGTCCGGCGTCTCCCAGAAGCAGGCGCACATGCGCAGAATACAACGTGGGTTTGCTTGGGTTAATGACAACACGGCGGAGATTTTTCAGTCACTCTGAAGTCCGGTCGTATTTTATTGATTAAAGAAAATGACCTTACAGTGAACGCAGGGTGAGTTAACTTTTAGCCTTGGTTTGTCTCTCTGACTTGCTAACAGCGTGTAAACTGAAGCTCTCAGTGTTGCTGCTCTTGTAAAAACGCTACACGTTGTTCTGCTGCTGTGTGCATCGTGTGTCTGCAGAGTCTATTCGTCCACTCCACGTGATAACACGTTACGCAGTTCAGTCAACCAACCAGCACTAGAAACGCTACAGACTGCTCTGTATTTCTGTAGTTGTTGGGCTCATTGCACTTACTATCACTGTCTTCTAAAGACTTGTTTGTTTTCATGCAATTGTCCACGGGGTCATTGTATTGCCTATATAATATAAAATCTTGATAATGCACACTTAGACGATTTTCATATGTTTACAAAAGGTATTTGCTGTTGTTTTATTTTTTATGCAAACAAAATGGCAAGTGTATTTGTAGTTTTCAATATAAAACTTGTTGAAATGGTTTCAGTGTGTGTGTTAGTACATTTTAATATTTTTGGCACATTTTTACAATACCGTAATAATACTGATAACTGTGATCATTTTGGTCACTGTAATCGTGATATGAAATTTCATACCGTTTCATCCCTAACACACACACACACACACACACAGACGTTACAGTTGTATGGAAAATACCCAACGCATGCTATCCAAATAGGGCCTGAACTCAAAATAATGACACAAGTTGCTGAATATGCCAGACTATTACTTCATATTTCCAGCACTAACAGCACAATCTCTACATAACATCACAGTTACCACATGAACAAAGTACAACTTGTTAGTGATTTTTGGGTGTGTGTGTGGGTGTCTGTTCAGAAACACACCAGAACTGTGACACCATGTTACCTTGTGCAGGTTCCCTTTGGAGTCTCCCAGGAAGGCAATAGTATGTCCCGCCCTTACGCTGACAGCAACAGCAGTGAGACGGGCAGACGGGCTGTCCAATATGATCTCTGCTTCTACGGCCATCCTGCTGGCCATCGGGCTGGGGGTGTGGTCAGAGCCGCATGGGTAGGCGTCCAGAGTGTTCTAATAGCAGGAAAACAAGAGGAAAATCTGTGTTACATGAAGATTGGATTAAAAAAGTAAATAACACATCATAATACATGCGGAATGTAAACTACAGTGCTTGTTTTGTACCAGAAGAAGCCCTTCAAGTGATTTGTTATTAATTTCTGAGCAAGTAGGCCAGTTACCAAAAATAAAACGGCAGTGTTGCTCTTGTGGTAAGTAAAATCCCAGCAGGATTTATTGTGGAGGGGTTGGAGTTTGGGAACAAACTATCACTGGATTCCAGCGATGTCTACACTCGGTGGTTTAAAGCTTACAGATGATTTGTTTTTGGTTCCACAGTTTGGCCATAGGGAGTCTTTGCTCTGGCGGCAGGGTTGTTGTTTTTTGTTCTGGGCAATTTATTTTTCTACGAGAATGTTTGAAAGTGGGGTCGTTGCTTCATCATTGGTAATCTTAACAATAGGAAGTAGAGGCAATGAACCTGAGAGCTCTGCCTGTTCTACTTGTTTTGATGGATTGCATGTAGCTGGCTGGTGTGTTGTTATGAATTGGACTCCTTATTTGGCCTGCTGTTAAGAAATAGAGACTGCTGATATACCAGCACTGCTGAACTCCAGTTAAATATTTTCCTGATTTCACCACTGTCCAAAGCTGTCTGACTTGATTGTAATAACATAGATAAACAGTCTCCCAACAGCTATATATAGGCCTCAGTGGACTATTGATTAAGTTAACCATGGGTGAAGAGGACACTTTAAACGGCCCGTTTGGTGAACCCAGTCATTAGGGGTAAACAAGCAGGAATGCTAAGAATAGCAACTACATTATGACTCCTGAAATAGTTATGAAGTTATGACGTCCAGTCTAGCATGGCTGGCATGTCACTGACTGCCCTAGCCAATGGGAGCTGGTGATTACACTGTTGCTGACACACGCTGATGAACACTGTGCAGTCTGCAATCATCTGGACATTTAGACATAAACACAGAGGGCAGTAATAACCACAAGGGAGAAAGATAACTAAAGATTGCTATTTGCTGTAAGATTGCTACAGTTGCACTCAGCCACTGTTTGGTAGGAGTCCTAAATCCTGATCATCATAACAAAGCATTTTCCCCACAGCTTAGAACTTGCGTGAGTGTCCCTGGTGCAGATGGGCTGTCCTGGTAAAGACTGAGCCGGGATGAAGCTGCTCTGGCGTTGTTTGTGTACAGGTATCCAATTGAGATTTGACATCATAATAACACTCTAAATCTCTTTTTATCCTCAAATCTCTCATCATCTCCTATCTAGTCATATGGTTTGCTTTGATTCCCCCTTTAGTCACCTTCACTTTTAAAAACATCTCATATCTGTCCTGTCCACTTCCGCTTAAGAGATTTAACGTTTTGTTCTAGGACATAAAATATAACAGTAAATATCACACTCTTGAATTTTGAAGCTTTTAAGTGTCTTTAAAATGGTGGTTGCTTACAGGAGGCTAAATGAGACTACAGAGGTTGTTGGGGACATTTTACACAATTACGCCAAACAGCGCAAAATCATATTACAAGTTGGAAGATTAGTGGTTGTGACATTTAAGTAATGCAACCGTGATATAGTTTGTTTTTAGCCTAACGTTAGCTTTTTATTTCTGGTGAGAGCCTTAGAGTTTTTAACCGTCTTTGTCAGGCATTATTAAACATGAACCCCAACCGCATCCCACTAAGTAGGGCTAATGCCGCAGACTGATCCCTCCCCAACTAACAATTCTATTAAATGACACTGCCCTACTACCACAACTACACTCCACTCAGGCCAATCTGTTTTACGCAGCTGCACAGGTTGAGATATCAGCGCTGCTCTAGGTGCTCAACACAGGAGGAAGTGATGATAGAGGAGGATGTGAAACTAGCCCACGATGGTCATCAGAGTGCAATGTTTACCTGCAGTAAACACCAGGAGGCACACACATGAACACACCACATAAAGTCAGGATTTCCAGAGTATGAGAGGGCCAATCTAATTCAATCCATCCTCCACAACATTACATTTGTCTGTTACAAAAACGTCCAATTGAATTTCATCCTCCCTGATACAAAGGTCATTTTGCTGGAATAGAGAGGTTCTGGACAGCTTCAGAGGCATGGCACCGACTTTGGCAGAGGAAAGCTTTTATTCAGTAAAGTCATCACAGAAAAGAATTGGGTTTCTAAAAAAGAAAAAAAAACAATTGGACAGGATGTTTTTCCTGTAAATAGAACAATGAAAACAAGGAGAATGTCAATTACATCGGGTTATTTAGTAACTGGTTTACTGTGTTCCTGCATCATGTTTATGTGAACATTTTTATTCAGAGAAAGAAAACCTACTCCAATATAGAACAGCACGGTGAGAAGGATGAAATATGTGGTCACACATTTTATTCTTATACAAGGTCACTCTTATCATGTATGCAGCTTTCCACAACACCTTGCCTGATTGATTGTTATACAAATAATTGCAAATAAAGATTTAATTGTCTTTCTGGGTCCTGTAAGCCACAAGCAAGTTCAACATACCCAGGATATATTTTGTTATCTGGCTTCAATAACCCTAACAACTGGAATAAGCGGTCACACGAAGCTGGTTATCAACTCAGTAAGTCAACCCAGGGTTTCCCATTCCAGCCATGAGCGCATTCACATAAAAGAGACGGTGTTAGCAGCAGATGACCAATCGCAGACAAGTCTACTGGCAGCAGAGCGGCATATTTTACAAACTAAAAGCAAACTGTAATATTAGACAAATAGACACAGTCTAAGTAGCAAAGCCGCAGCCGATACATGCAGGGAGACAGAAAATCGCAATCACGGTGTGAATGCCTAAGTGACGTAGTTTATAATAATGTGTTGATTTGATGTGTTCTCATGGCATGTATGAAAATGTAAGCATTATTCTTTCGGCTCGACTGTGTGTCGGCGTTTCCATATTAAATGACTCCGGCACTGAAAAGCCTAAGTCGTCGTTCCACCTCACATTTAAGAACTTCTCGTCACTTTATTAAACACATTAAAGTGTTCCAAACATTGTTCTAAATTAACCTCAAAAAGCAGCGAAACAAAAAATCCATTCATATTATAAAAGATACTCAAATCGGTGGTCGAAAGACTCAACATTTAGGCAACTGAAACTCCCCTACATTACCTGTGCTTGCATTGAAAAGGTGGGGCGGAACATGACCTGTCTAAATAATAGACAAGTGGGTAGAAAAGATAGTTAGCTACTAACCTAAAATAAATAGCCCACGTTCATTTTTAAATTAATTTCAATATCCCTACTGCAATATGCTCATATTATTCAGCCTCATGTAAGAAAAATGAAACAGACTGGGAGCAAATATAAAACACATTTCAAAGTGGTAAATAGGCTTACTGTAAAAACCTACAATAGTAGCTTACAAGTATTTCAATCAGTCTCTGTAGGATGGTGTCGCTGTACAAATGGTTTCTCCGTATCACCGCAGCAAACATCAAGCAGCCTATAAAACAGTCTGTGGGATCCCTACAGATGGTGATGTAATTTCCCAAGAGAGCTGATTAGGGTGACCAGATGAGAATGGGTGAAATTCGGGAACTGAAGTCAAGCCAGCCTCCACTTCGAAAACGACAGTCAAGCCAGCCCTCACGCTGTTTTGCGATGCGTGTTTTTTTAGGCATTACGGTAACATCATGTCGCAGCACATTACAAAATAAAAGTGAGCTTCTGCTGAACATAATGCAATTGATGTGGCAGAAAAGATTGAATAAATAAATAAATGCTTAAGACACCACAAGTATCTAAAGAAAATATTACATTCTGACAGAAAGCTTACTAAATTCAGCCAAGATTGGAACTCATGTAAAAAGAAAACCTACTGTTTCCACTAACTCATTTCACTTCACAGTGATAGCAGACCACCTCAGGGTGACCCTCTGTCAGTATCAGAGCAATCTGATGTTTGGTTTTAATATTACAGCCCTTGAAAATGTCTAATCTTTTCACTGAATTTGCTGATTTCAGATGGATGTTAAAAGAAAACGTCCTGTTTCCACTGACTCACTTCACTTCATAGTGACATCAGACCACCTCAGGGTGTCATTACCGTAATGCCTAGAAGAAAAAAAACACACATCGCAAAACAGCGTGAGGGCTGGCTTGACTGTCATTTTCGAAGTGGAGGCTGGCTTGACTTCAGTATTCAGGACAGAGGGGGGCGTGGCTACCGGTACATTGAGTGTCAATGAACATTAACACGTGAAAATCAAAACACAATGCTTCAATTCATTATTTTTGTTAATGAAAATACAACTGTGGATATGTAGGTAAATCATGATCTTTTACTTAATTTTTATATTTATTTTATTCATGTCATTAGTGCAGCGTCACATCTGTCTGCACAACGCGCGTCAGGTCTCTCCGCCGTGCCGTGTCTGCCTGAAGCTACACTGTAAATTCAATTAACCACAAGAAAACAAAAAGGGGAAAAGAGCACGAGTGTTACTTTGTGACTTTTCGGGACAACTGCTCGTAATTAGGGACTGTCCCAGATTTTTCGGGACGTCTGGTCACCCTAGAGCCGATTGGTCAGTAGGGATGCAGCGATTACCGGATTTCACTATTAACAGCGCTTTAAACATCACGGTTAATTAATCGTAAAGGCACCGCTACACAGAGTGTTTCTGTTGCACGGAACGAAGCTGTGGCAACTTGTACAAAACGAAAACAAAGTTACAGGAGCGGTGCACCAGTGTAAGTGTCGTGCTTATCAGAGGCTACTGTACACTGGCTAAACTATGGCAGAGGGACCAAACAGTGAAGCTTTATTTCCACCAAAGAAACAGCTGAAGTCGGCAGTGTGGGAGCATTTCGGGTACACCAAGACTGACCAGGGCCTTACTGAAGATGACAGATCACCTGTTGTAAAACTTGCCGTTAAAAGGTTCCTGCTAAAGGAGCGAATAACTACATTAAACTTGATGCAGCACCTGCGGGATCACCACCCAGCTTTGCACGCCCAAGTAATGGTAGGCCTAATAGGCTACATTAGGCCTATATTAAATAACGTAGCAAGTTGGTAGGGAATTAAATATAAACGGGTCACTTACAATCGATGCTGTAGCAGTGAGAGTCGAGCTTTCAGTGCAACGTAAACAAACAAGGCAGGTGTAACCTTTCAGATCCACTGCAACTACAGCCCTGCTGCGCTATGAGGCCCTTTATTTTCAATGGTTGGTTTGTTTCAAGCAACATCCACGGCAACTAACTTATTCTAGAAATATAATTGTTAATGTAATTGAATATTAAAAATCAACTTAAGTCATTACTAGTGCTGTGAAAGTAATTAATGCATAATAATCGTGAAAGCGTGATTATTTCTCTGACAATAATCGTACCGACTAAATCTGTAATCGTTGCATCCCTATTGGTCAGTAAGCGGCATTTTTGTAGAGTTGATCTCTTATCTGGAATATAACCTGTTCCGGAGCAGGTTAGCCATTCAACAAAGTTACCATGGCGATTTACCCTGGTAAGACGTCAACCTCTGAAAACCAGATTCAAACCCAGGCCACTGTGGTAAGGACTAAACCTTGATACATGGAATGCGCTCTACCTGGCGAGCCACTGGGGCTGCTCACTTAAGTGAAAGTGAATGAATTGAACCACATGAATTCTACGACTGGATTGGGCTACATTCTAATTTACTCTAACCAATGATGTATTAGTGTTTGTTTGTTCACAAAAAAAAAAGTAACAGCCCTAATAACTAAGTAAACACGGAAACAAGCAAATTCAATCTGTTGAACTCACCTCTGGCAGGTTGGCACAGTTGGATTTGACTTCGTACTCGATGTATGCTGCCTCCACTCCTGCTTCCTTACCCATCTGTGTGTAGCACACATCCCTGGTGGAATTAATCCTGCGGTCCACCTCTTCGAGGTTAAACATGCAGAGGGCAGAGTCCTCACTGGGCCGAGTTGATGATGCCAAACGAGTGGAAAAGACACCAAGAATTACTGGGCCTTGACCTACTACACCATCCTTGGTGAGCCCTAGCTGGACAGCTTGCAAGAGGTTGTAAATTTTTCCTGCCCCGGAACGGCATGTCAAGGGTATTTCCACATAGGAGTAATAGGCCTGGTCATCCAAACAAACACGAGACACATAGGTGCGGTACTCGCGTGACTGTGACTTTAAGTCCCGCCGGTAGAAGAGGAAGTATACGTGCTGACGATGGGCAAATGATGCTACAAAATGATGGTCGTATTCTGAGAGACGACCAGCAACAGCCAATTTGGCAGTCTCCTCGTAAGAAAAGACTGGTTCCTGGGCAAGATTTCGTGTGGAAATAGGAGGATGGCTGCTGGTGTAACCCCGGCCCACAAATAGCACCGGCTGCCTGTCAGGATGAGAGCGAACCACAAGTCCCACGGTGCTAATGTTGGGGTGGTTAGCTGCTACGTATTGGGTATCCACAGGCCTCTCTGTAGAGAAAAGTACCATATCCACAGAATCCAGACTACGTTTCTGGCAGATCCCTTGGTTGACGCTCCCGCACGTAATAAGCTCCATGGAGTAAGGGTCAACCAGCAGGAGCTTGTTGTGGTTGCTGGTGACCCTAGCCTGAGGGCAGTTGCTCTCAGTTACGGGAGGTAAGCACTCCCGACTGTCTGTGACAGGTCCAGTGTCATCCTGAAGCTCAAGTTGGAGGAATTCATCTAACTGGAACAGGTAATCTCGGGCCCCGATGTAGACCCGACCCACTCTGGTGTCGGGATGCAGGGCCAAGTGCTCAAACAGAGTGTCATTCCGAACAAATGTGGGATAAAGACTGGAGGGGGAGGAGTCTGATCCTTTGACAACACCATTGGGTAATGAAGTGAAGGGCCAGCCGACAGCTAGCAGCAGGACCGACAGCAGCGTTTGGACTGCTGACACTGAAAGACGACGCACCATCCCCGTAGGCATGGCAGCAGAGCTGAGAAAAAGAGGACAGGTGGTTAGAAAGAATCTCTATATTCACTAGAACAGGAGTTGTCAAATGTTGTCATGTCATAGCGCTCCTAACAGATACATTACACCCTGGATGTACCAGGCCACAGAACATTTGCTACCAAGCTGCTAGAAAATGACATGATTCATCACTGACAAGCTCACAACAACAGAATAGTGTTGAACCCCTCCCTGTTGAGTCCATTGTGCCAACGTGTCACTGGGCATCACAGAGACATGAACTCTACCTGGGACATGGCTAAGAGACATGGTAGACTACAAGCTGGACCTCGACCAATCCAAATCAGCTGTCTTTCATTATCTGCAAGTACATACAGTAGGTGATACATAGACCAGAGACTAACTACAGTGTTTATCTTGCAGCATCGACAACATCATTCCTGTTTTGCTTCCCCATTTTTACAGTTATGCACGGAAAAGAGCCCTCTTATACAATAACGTACAACACCGCGTTATAGAAAAAGTCAAACTATGAGGGGCAAAAAATTATTTTTGAGGTCAGGATCTCCACATTGAGGGAAATACAAAAACCAAAGTCACGTAAGAGTTTCTTATGAGGAAGAAGGACAGATAAACACCCCAAACCATGGATCTTCTTCAAGTCTAACTTAACTGTCAGCAAGTTTGCAACAATGTTGTCAGAAAATAAAGCTATCCATGGTGCTAAAAAGGTTTACATTTACTCATTTAGCTGACGATCTATGGCGTCTTACAATTGCAATATATATAAAGGCGGCACTCCTCCGGAGCAAATAGAGGAGGTCTTGCTCAGAATCACAGTGGAGGATGTGTTGCAGGGGGAATCAAACCTGGGACTGTCACACCAAAGGCATGTGTCTTATCCACTGTACCATCACCACCCACAGGTTTTTGAATCCTCACAAGAATCCATGGGCCCCTGAAGAACCACTGTCCCCGCAGTGCGCTAAACAGTATATGGTCCAAAAAAAGCTGATCCCACATCCACTGCTGTTGCACTAAAGGAGGGCACAAACTTTTGACCTTTACCACTTTCAGCAGATTAACCATGGAAGGACAAATGTTTCTGCTTTTAGAGCCCATGAAAATACCAAGTGGCATTCAACGGTTACAACCTCAGGAGTTTGCTTCAGCATTAATACACCATCTGAGACATCGGCTCCTCACCATTTGTTTCCAGTGGTGTTTTATAGAGGCATGTCACCTCTTGACCACTCAGCAGCTTGGGTTTAAAAACACATCCTTCTGGACACAACCTGCAAGACAATGGAAAAAGAAACATCAGTAAACTCTTCACTAAGATGCCCAGAGTGATTTATGGCATCAAATACAGGAGGTGAGAAACCTCACCCTACAGGTCATAAACACAAGCCTGCGTGTTTGCTACAAACTGACAGACGTTCAAGCACCTTGTATTTTTGACATCACTGCAGACTACTAAAAGTTGTGGGAAGCTCATACTAATTGAAATTCCTTACAGAGTATGTCTGACTGACTACATCCGTTTCTGTGTGTAAAAGAGCCTCCAGCAGAGGCCAAATCAAGTAGTGTCAGTGCAAAAGGTTTTTCAGTGCCACACACACTGTCCCAGCATACACTCCTCGCTCATTGCTAGGATACAAGGTACAAAACCCTTTGGTTTCAGAGTCCCTGCCAGAAAAACAAGTTGCTGTGAGGTAAAAGAAGATTGCATGAGAACCTTGAGAGGGATGGAGTTCCCTTGTTTGGGCACCTGAATCTGTGGTTTCATGCTAACTTTGTCAAATACTGAAATGTCTCCTCTAGTCATGACTGCTAAGTTATACTCAATTCTCCTTTTCATTCCATAGTAATATTCTCCTCTTCCCATCATTAAATATCCTTCTTCCTTTTATCTACCTCTCCTCCTCCATCGCCTCCCAACACTGCATGACTGGCACAGAAGCAGGATTATCTCTTATGAGTCTAGGCAAATCTCCAGTGGGCTTATCCAAATGGTACACTATTCACCCCACACAGACAGATCCTCACCCAGTACACACACACACACACACACACACACACCTCTTTTCCTGCCACACTAGAAGCATTAGAAAGCTTGCTTTGTTGGGGGAAATCTCTTCTGTGTGGGAATAAGAGTAAAGGCCTGGCAAGAGGTGAAAGAGGAGTAGAAGGGACACAAAAAAACTATTTACTAGAGTACGATAATTATGATCATTGTTATCTATATAATTCCAACCATGTGTGAATTAAATTTGAATTAAACCACATCGGGCACTTCCTTGCTAGTGTTTGTTTTTCCACTCAAGACTTGCTTATGTAGAACTACCTCCGGTTCCAGTACAAGCAGGGACACAGATGTCAACCAGACTGATTGATGCCTCAGTGGCTGAACCTGAAATCATCAAATCTAAACCAAAACACTGACTTCCTCCTTTGACCCCTCGGGGTGTAGGGAGTGAGTTTTCTGTACCAGTTTAACAGCTGCAACTCTGGGGCTAAAGAGCCTGAACTCTGTAGTCAGCGCGTCACGACTCTCTGGCAGACTCTCTGAGAAAGCACCAGTCCGGAGCCGAACGGAGCAGAGACAGGAATGACTGGCATGTTAACTAATCAAGCACTAGTCAACAAATACAGTGCTTCTTCTGTTCCCTCCTCTAGCCAACGGTGCAAGCTGGATGCTTATTACTCCAGCGCAGGTAACAGTGTCGGATTTGAGCACAGGGCTGTCTTCTTCAATAAGTCCCAAAATTTGCAGGTTGTCACTCCACTTATCCACGAACAACCAGCAAGTCAGGTCCTCATCTGTCTTAATTTGCCATTTGCTAAAAGCTGCAAATCAAATAGCCAAAAACTACGGTCAGCTGGGCTGCCGTCACTCTAGGCCAACCTCATTTGGGAGAGGTTTCCCTTTCCTGCAGTGAATAATCTAATTACACTCAACTTCACCCAGAGTTCGAGACATATGAGAACAAGAGAATGGATTTGTGATTAGATTCTCTCACATTAAAAAAAAAAAAAAAAAAAAAAAAAATCACACGGAAGTCTTTTTTTTTTTTAGGTGCCTTCAGCAAGCCAAAAAGGTATCAGCTTGATGAGAGGAGAGAGGAGGAAATGTGTGCCTGTAATTGTTTTATCCAAATATTCCTTCACTTTTAGGTAATAGAATCCAACTTGTTCCAGCACAGTCGGCAGAAACCAAACTCAGTTAACATGATATAATATACAGTACAAATTAGGCTTCTGTCGATTGGCCATTGGATCGGCCATCGATGATTCAAGGGATGATCTGCGATTCGTTTTTCATGCGCTGATATTAAGGCGATATTATGAGCAAGCATAGGGATGTGCGATATGCCGATATCTACTGTTTACCGATAGAAAAACGTCTGACGTTATCGTTAGCAATTATGATCTATTGTTTATTGCGTTGTGTCGCAAATTCAACATTTTGCTGTCATATTGGATGGCTGAATGGCGCTTTCAATCCGTGGTGAAGTTAGTTTTACTTTGAAATTAGTACTTTGAAACTAATATCCATCTTGAAACTAACTTCCCCACGTTGCTTCTTCCACATAAGCCGATGTTGCAGGGAGAAATTTGCATAAAAATAACGGCTAATGACTTATAAGGTGATTTGACTTTTTTTGTCATATCGCACAGCCCTAAGCAAGCATGCAAGGAGCCTTACTGTTAGCTCATAACGATTGCTATGTTAACGTTAGAATACAGCTGGGTTGTCGAGGTTAACACGCTGTACAAAGCTGCTAGTCAATATCGATTGCCAACCTGCAGTGTGTCACAAATTGACTTAATTATGCTATGCATCCCTAATGAGCTGCTTCTATCAGTAGTCAACATAATGTTGTTTATACACAGAGAAGCATGTATTTGCCATGACTTGTAGCTAGCTTGGATTATGACATTTTCCTGAACAGACTGCATCGTTCTCTTGGAAAGTTTTAGTGAAGCGGCATAGTTATTACCTGGAATAAGCAAGGAACAAATTGCACTCCCTCTTTACTTTCAAAGACCAACCACTGAACCACGGTATATAATTCTGCCCCTAGAAAATTCCCACCAACATTGCCCCATGTATTTTTTAAACACATTACTGATTTTGGTCTGAATGCCTATTAAATGACTAATTAGGTCTCATTAGATCCTTGTGGCTGGTTGAAGGTGGTGACTGGTGTTGAGTAGACACTGTTGGGGTGTGTGTGGGTGTGGCAGGAGGATATGTTCACCAGCCGTGTTCCTCTCCTTGCTTTGAGTTCAGCTGGTAGCCAAATATCCTTTCAGTCATTCAAATGACTCATTGTTTCATGCTGAAGAAGGCAGGGCCCCGACAGACTGATGGTTTCGACAGGGCTTTGAGACTGGACTAGGATTACTTTTGATACGCTGGGCTGCCAACGTTGGTGCAAGCAAATGGGGGAGGGGGGACTTTATTCACAAAGAAGAGCTTAAGTGCAAATGCATTCCTGAACTTGTCCTCATGTACTGTTAAGAGGGCAGGTAGATGTGGGGCCTGTAGCAGATGGACAGAGGTAGAATCCCTTTACGGCCAACTGAAGTCTACCAACATCGACACACCGCAAAATGGACTGGAGTCTGGGCTGCAGCCAAAAGACTCCATAACACAACGAAACATTCCTGAGAGGCACATTCAATTGAGCCATCATCCGCTTCACTGAGTCCAGCCTTTCATTCATTATCAATTCAACTATTCTATATTCTGAATGAGACCCAGAATGACAACAGCAGGGAGGGGGATAGAGCATATTTGAAGAGAAAAAGCTGGCAGAGAGACATTAGCAGACAGAAATGGGGTTACAGGAAGACAATGGCGAAAAGGGGAAGAGAACAGAGACAGAGAAGGGGAAAACGACGAGGGAAATTGCCACAAACAAGTACTCGCAAGCTTCAGCGCTCACTGAGAACTGATGGAATGTGACTAATGATAATAACCCAGAGAGAGGGGGGGGGACTGAGAGAAAGAGAGAGAGAGAGAGGGGAGGATGAGGTGGCCATTAATTACACTGCCTACCCATAATGCTCCATTCAACACTACTTATTTGTAGAACAAGGGGGAGGGGAAATAAAGAAAGTTTCTAATTAGTGACATGACTGTGAGCAAAAACACAAACGTGCACTAGCACACACATGCCAATAATGAGAAATCCTCCTCAGTACATTTTAAACAAATAAACACACTCCAAAATGCCCACAGTCACTCTCACACACACACACACACACACACACACACACACACACGCAGGCATGGTGGGACTCGGCAAGGCCCTGAGTGCAGCCATCTGCAATCAGTCATTTCCTTTACATCAACAAACAGTGTTTACAAAGGATGCTTTAGTGCCTGTGAAAGCCCACCGTGTTGAATTACACAAACACTAGCCGTCAACATCCTCCTGCTGCTTCCCCACAACGCGACTGTTACTGCTGTGATATACGAGCTGTGTAAAGCATTAGGTCTAATTCATAACACCTAGCTGGAGGGACACCACACTTTTTTTGCCCCTCTGGATTCTCAGTGATATTACACAGACCACAGAAGCTTTAGGATGGTTCCGGAGAGGACCGGGCTATGTGCTCATTTCTGCGTGGTGATTTATTGTACCACTCATCAGGTTTGACAGCAGTACTCACCAAAAAGTAGAAGGAGCCACTGGTTCCACAAGATCTGTCTCCAGTGTGAATTCAAAGTTTTCAAAGTCTTTAAATGATATTCTCAATGCTCAACACGGAGTCTCCCGAATAATCTAACAATGCTCTAGGGTTATGTTATGAACATCATTACTAATTACTTTGACTTCATTTCTAAGAAAGTATGTTTTATGTACCAGTTTAGTCTCAGCTAGTAGAAGTAGAAGCCAGTCAGAGACCAAAGCTGGAGAAGATTCTGAGCGCTTTGTTCTTGAAATAACAAACGTTAACTAAATTAGCTTTTTTAAATTGTGTTTCATCAGATCGTTAACAAGCGATACCAGATACAAACAAACATTGCACGGCTTACAATTGATATTGAATTTCATTAAGCTGCTAGAGTCGTGGCTTTGTGGCCCTCTTGCACAGGCTTGTTGACTTTTGTTGTTTTTGCTAAGTAGGAGGTATCATTGCAGCCAGTTATATACAGAATCGAAAACCCAGGTGTTCTAAAATTAACTTAGCTCTCCTTATTAGCTAGGCTCCTTACATGCTTGCTAATAAACTTTTTTAAGCTGGTTCTCCGACATCGATACCGTTGTGATGGACAGAT